TGGGTTTAGCAAACTGGAATAGTAGAACGAACATAGACGACGGCTGTTTTGGCTGCAGTGAAGGGAAGCGTGCAGAAGGTCTACAGATGGGGAAGCAGGTCTGGGTGCACAGCAGCCTTGAGACGAAACAGAAGTTTGTTTTACACTCATTGTAATTTCTCCACCGATGCTCTGAAGTCACTCTGCCTTGTGATGTGCATGCCGTTTATTATTATTATTATTATTTAATAGTAGTAGTAGTACTATATGTACAGTAAAAGTTCTGATACCCATCATCCAAGTAACCAGCACAAAAAATTTATAAGAAATAACACTACTATATTAAAAAAAAAATACACTAAACTAAAAATAGTAAAGTAAATCATTACGCAATACAAATGTAGTGTCTGCATGCCTGTGGAGCGGCACACTTTAGTATCTTCCTGGTTGTTCCGCTGTCCATTACCTCGCATTCTCTTGTGTTGTATTGAATATCTGACTTCATCCAGCAGTAACATTGTAGCATGTTAAAATAACAGTACAATGATTATTAGTGTGTCTCTGTATGTGTGTATAAAATTATTAAAATAAGTGTAAGAAATGAGTTACAATTCAGTGTTTTTCAAAAGTAACATTCAAATATCTGGAAAATAGGACTATCCCACACTGTGCCTCAGTCCTGACATTGTTGATCACGATAACTTTTACTGTAATTAGAATTAGTTCAACTTCGAAAGGTGACATTCAACTTTAAGGTTATGTGTGTGAGTGAGTGGGTGCATGTGTGGAAGTGAGAGTATTTTTAGGTATTTTTTTTAGGTATTCATTTTTAATTTAAGAATTAAATATTTATTATTCACAATGCACTGCAAATTTCGTTGTACATTGTGCAACGACAATAAAGCTATTACAATTACAAGAATGTATTCACAAAGAAATTTCTTTAAAAATTCCCTTATTTGGTGTTCACAATTTTTCATCCGTTCCAAGGGGCAATTCTAGGATTCTTTTAAGGTGGATGGGGGCATAAGAGGAACCAACCTTTTCATTAACTAATAGTGTGTTTTGAATAAGTGAGTGAAGGGGGGCACTCAGATGTCCAATCAACATTCAGCTAGGGCCACTGCCCCTGTGGCCCTTTCCCCATGACTGAAAGGTCAAAGAAGTGTGTCTACATTATCTTCTGTGCCTCCTGATTGCATCCTTTCCCCCATTACTCCTCTCCATTTATCCCCTGGTAGATATCGTTATTTGTACATCAGTAAGAATACATCACTCCTCTGACGTTATATATTTTTAAATTTGTTAATTGTTCAGTATTTTGCATTTTTGTTAGCTAAAGACCAGAAAAGCAAATCACTGATAGGATGAATGCTATACCAATACACCTCCTCAAATAGGTGAGCTCACACAAGGTGGATAAAAAGATGTGCAGGTATAAAAGTAGGGAAAAAAACGCTGGGGGTTGGTACTTTGTGAAAATAAAGATAGGAGGGATGGTTGGGTGAGTCAGATGGGAGGACAATAATCTAAGAAGAACAGGACTGTCCACAAAGACCGTGTGAAATCGGGGCAAAGAGTAAAAAAGGAGGGGAATTTGAAAGATTGGCTCATACCTGTGTTCTGTCAAGGGAGAAATTATACATTTATTGGGGTTTTTTCTGCAAACGACATACCCCATGGATCAAGCTGCTGGATTTACGAGCCAGTTCCCAACAATGAAATATTGACAACGGGAATCAATTTGACCTGTTTTCAGCTGCCATCAATGCTTTGTAGCTAGAAGACTACAACTCTAATACTTATTTCCTCTCACAGTCTAAAGGACGATATAACTACTGATTTTGATTTATCGACCCATAAACACTTAATTGATTTTACATATTTTTAATTATTCATTGTAGCACATTCAGATGTGAAAAATTTGTCAGATTTTTAAATAGATGATAAATCTTAATATAATTCTGTCTTCTGTCAGTTTTAATATTCTTTTCACAGCCATTCTTTAAAAGGGAAGACTAAATTGTGTTCCTTATTTAAAACTGCTGTTTTGTACATACATACATAGTAATTACATAGTAAAATAAAATAATGCGATGACTTGTTTATGAAGAAACTGGCACGGATTATTGTTTAACACAAACAAATTTTAAACCTTTAAGAAATGCTTATGGGAAGCAGTAAAACAAACAATATTTAGCCATCATTTCCAGAACAGACAAATATGCATCCATCCATCTTCTAACTGCTTATCTTGGTCTGGAGTTCACAGCCAAACATGACGTACATAATTCCCTTTAGAAGGAGGTTCAATAATGCTGCCAATAATGCAGCCCCAGGATGATGTTGCTGTGAAGCCACCGTACTGCTCATTAAGCAGGCTGCCTACATTATTTTAAGTATTAAGTTTTCCTTTCTGTCTCTCTTGATAATTGTACCAATAAAACAATCCTGGATCATACTCATGACTAGCATGTTTCGTTAGCACACAGTTCTGAGAACGCTTCATTATTCATTTTACGTTGCTTGAAACATTGCAGCGCAAACACAGTGTTGTGTGAATGCAATTTTGGGTGACCTCAGTTTAGAGAGCGAGATGACCACCCTCCAGAAAACACCATCTATCACTCGAGACAAGACAGCCCCGTTCTCCTCAAGTCCCTGTAAGTACATTCTTGTACATCTTCACAGTTCTGCTTCGCTTACTTGAAAATCTTCGGTTGTGTCTAAAACAACCTTACTCCTAGAAGGGAAAAAAGTTAAGTCTAGTTATTAGACCCTGACAACAGAAATGTGGTTTAAAGAAACGGTTTTGCTCCAATGGTCTAGGATGTTTCTGTCATTTAGTGGCATAAAGCCCTCAGACAAGCTTTGGGTTCTCATTGCACTTTGACGTTTAAGGGCAGCGGAATAAACTGCGGTATCTTGAGATGCAGACGGAGGCGTAAGGATAAAGGTGCCGGGGGGCTGGGGGGCACAGCTGGCACTGTGGAGACAGCTCTGGCTGAAGCCAAAAAAAGACTGTGCCTGAGACGAAGACTTAGAGCATAAAACAAAAATGAAAATTTACTTTAAACGAGAACATGGAAAAACTATTTATCTGCTCATAAAATGTCTTGGTGAAATATTGGCCAGAAAAATAGGCTTTCTGAAGATTTAAAGTAATCCAATCAGGAACTTTTTTTTTTGGAGATCTTTGATCCTTTTAATCAAAATAACAAAAAGTACAAGAAAAAAAATCTGTAATAATTCGTTAATTTTCCACACTTGCTTGTCCTATGCAGGGTCACATGGGTCTCGAACCTATCCTGGAAAGAAGAGTCACAAGGCATGGAACAACCCAGGATGGGGTGCCAACCCATCACAGCTCACATAGACCTATGGACAAGTTGGTAACTCCAGTTCACCTCAGCATGTTTTTGGACTGTGAACTGAAGAACCCAGAGTAAACCCCACAACGACATGTGGAGAACATGCAAACTCCACGCACATGGAGCCATACCAAGCCCTGGTCTCAGAGGTGCGAGGCAACCATGCTAAAAGATTTAAAATGTTAATACAATGTCATTTGAAGGAAAATTAGGTATTTTTGATGAGAAAAGCCTGCAACCTATGTGCATGGAGCCTCACCCTCCATGGCCTGTCTGGGCTGGACAGCCTCAAAATATCCTCACAAAGCTCGCTGCATGAGAAGCAGCCTTCATAGAGAGAGGGACTTGCAAACTCCATCCAGACCAATCACTGACTTCCATGTTCAAACTTTCTATTATTCTTTCAGCCATCCTCTTGTGTCTTTATAATCCTCTGCTTTAAGCCCAGTTCAGCAGAGAGGAACATTCATCTCAATATATGTCAGAGTAGATGTCAGTGGCCCTCATCCAATCCCCATGTAAAGCAGGAGGTACATACATCGCGCCACTCCATCAACACACCGCTGAGCACCAAGCGCACCGGCACGAGGCCCAAAGCCAGCCTGAGCACGCCCTACTGAACACAGCCTAACGAAACTCTCTATTTTTATCTTGGCACAGCAAGACAAAATAAAGTACAGTAAGTATGGAATAAGTTCTGATTTTTTTTTAAGATTGCAAACAGGTCATTTAGGGAACCAATTTCGTACTTTGTACTGTATCTGTTTTGGTCCATTTGAATTAGGAATATAGTCCTTTGCTGCTTATTGGAGACTTTCAGTATTAAAGTATATAAATATTGCATTTCTAGTCATTCAACAAATACAATTTGCATGCAAATAGATTCCTAATTAGGACAAATGGTGTGACTGACTTGTCAGTAGGGATATTATCTAAACCGGTCTTTTTGCAGTAGCCAAGTCAAGGAGAGCAAGTGAGCATTTAAAAAATCTTATTATAGATTTTTTATTAACTAATTAGAAAAAAGGTTGCATTTAAATGTGATGTGAGATCCCAATAGTACTACTGCTTGTTTAGTGATTGAGTTCCGTTTCAACAACCAGGTCGTTTGCTAAAGTGAAAATCACGATAGCCTAGGTGTGACCTCAATTTTGTTTACGACTTCACTTCAGCTTACCATACTAGGTTTCTTTTAACCTTCATGAAGTGGACATTCTTAACATTTTGTACATTACACTTCAAAGATGTCCGTCATTCTGGCATGCATTGTTGTCAGGTCATAAATCTGTACATTGGTCAGAAAATTATTACTTTCAAATTTGCGAACGGTCCCTAACTGAGGGAGTGGCTAAACGAGGAGTGGTTGCAAAATGATGGAAGTGCATTAAGTAAAACTGCTAATCTGCATAGCTGTTGGGTTTATACCTAATTGAAAATATAAATTAGGCACCCAAGGAGTGACAGGCGATAGACAGAGAGAAGGAAGCAGAGCCGTGGCCAATGCCTCAGGAGAATTGGGCTGTTATGACCTCTGGCAGTTTTGTGAAGCTGAAGTGCTGGAGAGTCTCCTCACACACAAGAATCCTTGTAATAAAGCGTGTAATACAGAGCTTTCCAGCAGCAACACAGGCAGCAGTGCAGCTCACAGACTAAAAAGCAGAAACGATTTTTTATTAAATCATAGCGTAAATTTGACAAGATGTCAGAATCCATAAACGGTACAGAAAATGTAACTGGGGGGGGGGGGGGGGGGAGAGAAGGGGTGGGCCAGGACAACCTGGCTCAGGGGAACGTGACCTTTACAGGGATTCAAAGACAGCTGATATGCTGAACTGCCAACAAGTGTCAACAAACTAGTCTGCAGTAGAAAATGGAGCTGTAAGTCTTGACTGGGCAGAGTAAATTGCAAACCACACCAGCCTCCACCTCCACGAGGAACTGTCATGTCCTAAAGTAAAGCATCGCTGGTTTAATGTCACGGAGCTAAAATAAACAAGGCGCTCATGGGGTGGCCGCAGAGTGTAAAGACGGAGACGCCGTCGTCAAGGCTGATTCGCCTCGGAGAGCCACTTAGGCCGTCTGCCCGCATTTCAATTAAACGGGGACAGCTGTTCTCCTGTGTCCCGATTAGTCCCGCGTGGCAATTTACAGATCATCCAACTTCATTTCAGGTACCGCGACGACGAGGAAGGGATAATTGAATGGAATGTCAGTCAGTTCTGTATTGTGGTGGTCGTGGCTTTAAGCAAAGGGAGCTTCAGACAGGAACCGAGGAACCTGGATTTGCCAGCAAATAAAGGGTAGAATTTCAGGGACCGCCGTGAGATTGTGGTTTGCCTGTAGATAAGTAAGAGTTCCTGCACAGCATGATAAACAGCGTTTCCTATATTTAGCTAGTCGATGTTCTTTCCATGTATTCACCCCTGACCCAAGCAATGATTCTTTATCCAGATCAAAGTTTCTTGGCTTTCTTCAGAGAAGATGAACTGGAGACGGACTCTCTTCGTTTTCTCTGTGGAGAAGAACAGAAATAAAGACAGTGAGTGACAATTTAACAGGTTAAAACAGGAGAACATAATAACCTTCTTTATTCAGCCTGAACTATGCATGCGCAAGAGATTTCTTCTGGTTTTTCTGGTGTTGTATACAAAGAGGGAACACAGTAACACTGCACAGAGAGAGGACATGAAACATGCAGAGCGACACGGAGAATGAAAACAGGTACAAGAGGGAATGGTGTGGCTAGCAAAGAAATATCCCTGTAAAAATAAAGACAGATCAAAAGGAATGAATACAGACAGTCCCCAACTTACAACTGGGTTCTGTACGGATGGAGGCCGTACGTCGTATGTTGGGATAGGATAATCGCACTGATCATACGTGAGAATGAGACTGGGAGATGCGTGTGAGACTGGGATGGTCGTGCTGTCATAATGTACAGTACTTCCCACATCAACTATAATTATAGTATAATTATAATTATTAATAATAACCATGATTATCCTCACCATTATTATTATTATTATTATTTGCATATCAGACTCTAATAGCAGTGTGATATAGTAGAGGATAAGATGAATAGAAAATATTTAGCAGCAATAGTTGAAAAGCTCAAAATGCAGCATTCAAATACCATGAGTTTACCATCAGGAAACCATCAGTAATGGATTTGCCATCCTGCGATTCACTTGCATAATGCATAGGATCAGCAGTCAGATAGGATCAGCATTCAGGACTGCACTGGGCTGCACTGTCCATGCTCTACGCGGTGTGAACACAGCACTGGAGTAAGATGCAGGAAAAATGACAGCTTTCATCCCCATAGGGGGACAGTTTGTGCTTTTCAACTAATATGTGGCTGTGACAGGACCTTCTGGGCAAAGCAGTAAACGCTGCCCATAGCCAGGCTGTTCCCACATAGTGAGGGACAAAGCTCACTGCACAGCAAAGCTGCACTCCAGCTATCCTGTGTGACACGCTTAAACTCTTGCTGATTTCCTAAACTTCCCCATATTGTTCTCTTCTGTACAAAGATTATATTCCTGCACCACATTTAACTTATATAAATGCTACTTTGGGCAATAATAAGGACAGGGAGGCCTAATTATCCAGGCATTTCCCACGGCTTCCACGCGGTATATGAGCAGGGTAACTGACAGGAAACAGGCCCGGAAGGGACAGCATGCTCTGTACTCACAGAGTTGGGCGTGAGCGGCGCTCCTACCACGTCGATGACCTGCTCCTTGGCCTCTGCCTTCAGGTCCTCACACCCGGGGCCGGCAGAGCCCTCTGCCCCAGGCCCCTCACCAAGGTGGGTGGCCTCACCACCGGCCTTGAGCAGGGCCTCGTAGCGATGCCGCAGCATCTGCTGCTCGTATTCGCAGTTGGCGTGCGCCTGCTTCAGCTCGTAGACCAGCACCAGGTCGCTGCGCAGCTCGTTGAACATCTGCACAATCTCCTCAGTGGGCATGGGGTTCAGATCTGCATGGTGGGGGAACGATAGCTGTTGGCTGGGGAAGGACGATCTCGAACTCAGCGGCTCGATTAGAACACTAGGCCAGCTAGTCATGATGGGGTGATGCAGACACAGTTACTAAATGCTGGAAATAACATGAAACTGACCCTCTAATTAACTTGGTCCTTACAAACAACTTATCAGCAAGACCTACCAAAGGATGCAACAAGCAAGCAGAGAAATAATATTGTATATTCTCCACTAAAAAAAGTTTGATATATATTCTCTGTATGCCTCAAAATATAAGCTGAGAACCTTTTCAGTCTAAACGTCCTTGGCCTTCAAAGTAACACATTCCAAGTAAGTTTAAGAAAAACTGTAATGTTAATTAATGAATTTCATAATTTGTTCCTCACTTAACCCAACAAAAACAATCTACCATATTGGACATTTTCAAGCTCTGTTGGCTTGTGGCTACCATCCATAAAATTTCCTTGCCTTTCAGATTACAGAATGCTTCAGTATCATCCACCCCTGTCTAGTGCCTTCAGGAACCAGTGCCTATCCCAACCCGCTGATGGTACCATTTTCAAAATAAATGGGGATAATTGTTCAGGGAGTTGTGAGGCTTTTTCTGAAAATGTACTGACAACCACTGGAATACTAATACTAACAATGAAAACTAACAACAGGGTCGAGCACAGAGTATGCGCTTTAGCTGTATACGAGTAAAACTGAAGCAGACGCGAGTTAACAGGTGACAGTTCTGACTTTTCCCTACACCATTACCAGGAGGAGTCTGGCAGCTGTGAAATCTGAGGCGGACTTTGTTCTTCTGCACTCACCGACTCCCTGCTCCGTTAAGATCTGCTCGATGGCTTTAATCTTCTTCTGTCCCACTGAGCTTGGGAGCTTCATCTGAAATGGAGAGAAAAAAAATGCCACAAAGCTGAAATACCCATGCACATGAAAAATGGGGTCAGGTTGTTAGCAACTGAGTTCTATACACTGCACAAACTCATTTTATAATGCTACTTTTCAAATACGCACAAGAAAGACATTGAAGGTTAAATTTATGTGCCTAATAAAGTCGTTTGTGTTTTCACTCAAGAGTTATGCAGCAATGATAAGAAATACTGCCATGATAATTACAGCCAATCATCAATAGAAATACTCATCCAAGTACTAATAATAGAGTGTTTCCACAAATGGTCTGAAAAAGATTTTCCGGTGCCAAAGCATTTTTAAAACTTAAGACCATGAAAAACCTGTTATCTTCCGTCAGCATTTCATGGACAGATGCAATATACAATGTTATGAATTGTTCAAGAAAAATTATAATGCATCTTAACTGATTTTAATTACCGAGGTCAGTTTTATGAAAATAGTTTAAAAACATATATGTACAAATATAGTTTAAAAAACTAACACTCAGAAGATAATAATTGTTGGAACAAACTACATAATAGACTGAACATGCACAAAGCCATGCATAACTCACTGAGCGCTTAATCCATCAACATAAGCAGGGGAAATCAGCAATCAAAAAAAAACAAGGTTTATTCATTGAATCTTAAAATTAGTGGAAGGAAAATGAGTCCTACATTTAAGGCTGATGTCAGCAGCCTGTTTGTTAAGTTGAGTCTAACAGATTATCAGAGAGATTTGAGCAAGGCTCCTCATTTAGCCGTAATGCATTTTCGTTTCGCACTGAGAGTAATCTGCCCCTGTCACTCACTCTGAGCTATTTGCTTTGAGTTATATTGTAAAGATTAGCCTGACACCATACAAATAACTCAAAACATTCTGTTAATGAGAGCAAAGTAACAAATCTTTTGAATACAACTATTCTAATTCTGCACTATAGGGATGTTTTATGGTGGCATAGTGGCTCAGTGTTTGGCTCCAGACCCAGAGCATGATAAGCAGCTAGAAGATAGATGAATGGATGCTTATCTGAATTTTCATTAAGTGCTAAGCTAACCATATTTCAGGAATAACCAATTAATTATGACCATTTAAAAAATGGACCGTAAAATATGATTAGATAAGAATTATTTGGCTATTAAAGACAAAAGATTGTAAAACTACAAGACAATTACACTTGTGTATGATAAATGACAGGATTTTTTCAACATTAATATACTTGACATTAAAAATAAAAATATTTCACTGAAAAGCAAAAATGACCTTTACAGTACTTGAGGAATATTTTTCTTGAGGAGGAGCTTTACTTACTCTTTGGCTACGAAGCGTGACACCAGCGGATTTGAAGTCAGGGAACTTGATGCCTGCTGTCTCTGGTAGAGCCTACCACAGGAACCACGGGAACAAGACCAGGGGGTTAGACTGGCAAACCCACACAAACTGCCTACACTTTCGTAACACAGTACAGCTACCACAAGACCTGTGCATATCCCCATGTATCTGTACCAAGCTTTGGTCCACAACACTCTGGTAAATCAATAAAAGAAATGCAAGCAAGTCACATCCAAACTAACTTCTCAAATTCTAACAGCCATCATTTTCAACCATTTGACTGGCTAATTGTGCAAATTTAAAGATACAATAAGCTTACAGCAAACAGTGAATAGAGTGGCACTGACTTAACTCCTAAACTGTTTATGTCTGTTTTTTTATTGAGGTAGGCCAGATTTATGAGATCCCATACAGTAAAAAAATTAGGAATCATTTTAGAATGGAAGAGTCAAGAGTTACTCGTGTTCTGGATCATCTAGTTTCCTATAAAACAGAAAATTATGCTCAAATAAAAATATGTCAACAATCTTCTAATGCTTTCAGATGGTCAGATAGAAATAAGTATCTTCCCTTCATAAAATAAATTAATTGGGAGGAGGGTTAATAACTTGTCCATTTATGTCAAAAACAAACTAATTTCCCAACAATGAATTTAGCCATTATATCCATACAACACCCAACCTACTATTTTAACTAAATCCACCATATCAAGTGAAATATTCATAACAGATGGAAGCAGACCACTATTTAATTGACTTTTGGATAATGGACCTTTTTAAGATACTTCTCATTCTAGCAACGTGACGCTGACCTCTGACCAATTATAAATGACCAAATTAACACTGCCAGAGTTACTGCTGGCTGGACTTCTGCTCCAGCTCATTAGATCAAACCTGCCTCCTCTATCTTTACACCTCACACCATCTCCTATTTCCCTGGCACATGAAACATCACACCCACATGGAGTACAGGAAAACAACATCTAAAGGTGTGCATGGCTGGTAAACAAACACCTTCTCCTTGTACAAACGAGCCAGCCTGACAGGTGCTCAGGAGAAACCCAGATCAGCTGGAGGAGAGGACTGCTTTGAGGCGAGTTAGGAGAACCACACATCGGGAAAACTCCACACTCTTACAAAATATGTACATTATTATTTTTGCTTTCCCTTGTGGTTTATGGGAACGTGTATCCAGTCTGAGCACCAACCGGGCCGTTTAATTAGTAGATAGAGTTTCATAAATCCAGGCTTCTCTAATCAAATTAGACGTCGTATGTAAATTGTGTTGCATGAGTGGGAGATGAGATTTTTCCAATTGCTATGTTTTTGACCTGCCCCTTGTTAAACATTTCTGTCCCCAGTAGCAGGTCTGGCTATGCTATTTCATGACAGCTTGTCTCTTGTGCCGGAAATAATGAAAACGGACTTTCCTTGTAAATACGCTATGCACTGTGCAGTTAGAATGTCGTAGACACGACATTTTTAACCAGTTCCATTATAAAGAAGTATAATTACAATATAACAATAATAATAATAATAATTAAAGCATTGTGTTGAATACTTATTGGAAAACGTTGGCCATTCAAGAAAACAGGTTGCCCAAATTATTCAGAGATGCCCAAGAGTAACAGAGCATTCAGGTGTATATGCCATCTGTAGTGGTCAGAGCTCTTTACACAGCTCTTTAACTTGATTGATTGCAAGCACACTGAACTAGCTACGCTAAACTGGTGTCACTCATCCATAATGGGTTATGTTAGCAAAATTACCACCAAAAAGTTAAATCAATATATTTAACCTGGAAATATTACATTACTTTATACTGTCGGTTAACAACACTGAACTCACTCAATTTGCGGCAATTAAGCTACTGCTGACCAACTGCTGCACAGAGGCATACAGGCTTTAGAGGTGAACTTACATTTGGCTTAAGGAGAAGTTCTCAAATTTATACAACATTAGATTTCAGATTTAGGTTTTTGTCCAATATTAAAACACAATGGGTATTCATTCAATGTAAATACAAAAATAAAAATGTAAAAACCTATGCTAAAGTCCTGAGAACAAAAATATACTATTTAAATCCATTTTCCCTTAAAAACATTAGCACAAATCTGGGTGTCAGGAGTCACCGGCGATGCACGGAGTGGGGATCACAATAATGGTGCCTGTGGGGGCTGCAGTACCCCAGTATGACGGGGGCGGCCCGTGTCGTTTCCCCAGGTGAGCTGCATGTTGCATCACCTACATGGGCAGTAGAGGGAAAGGAGACAGCAGCTCACCGGTTTCTCAGTCTCCCTCTTCTGGGGAAGCTTCTTCTTCGTGGCCTTCCGGTCTGCCCGCCGCATCTCCGTGGTGGTGTCTGCGGCCGTGATGAGCTTCTGCAGGTCCTGGGCTTTCTTCTCTCTCTCCTTCTTCCGTGTCTCGATCTTACGAAGCTCCTGGATCAAGTACTCCTCTTCTGCCACCTGCGAATCAAGCAGAGGTTCACGTCCGGGCGGGACTCGACTATGAGGGCCAGTCATATTTCTTTCTTAATTATACAGTAGAACATAAAATGCCATTTGCATCACTGAAGAAATTATGTCATTTTGTGCTTTATTAATTACACTAAAAACAATGTCTGCACAAAAACACTAAGGGCATAACAAAATATGAGTAAACATCAATTTAATTTTTTACACTGGAGAATTTTCTCCTGAAACAACCTATAATCAATTCATTCATTCATCTTCTATGAATACCGCTTATACCGCTTGTCCTATACAGGGTGAAAGGGGCCCAGAACCAATCCCAGAAACAACAGACGCAAGGCAGGGAATAACCCAGGATGGGGCACCAATCCATTGCACATCAACCACACTGTTCATACACACATTCACACCTATGGGCAATCTGGAAACTTTAATTCACATTTTTGGACTGTGGAACACCCACAGAAAACCCTGCGACAGCATTTTTATTTCTAGATTTGTTCCAGAACCAGTCAATTAATTGTTTAACTGCAGCTAATGAAGACCTAATAAAAGACTGTCTAGCATGTAAATGGAAAGCTTGGATCTGGAGGGAAATCCACTGTGTTATATGATTGGAGTAAATATCAGTTCATTCTACAGGTTACTGGAAGGCGGAGATTGCGGAGGATCAGCAAGACAGATACAGAATATAAGGGCTAGAAAAAATCAACAGAAAAAAACTGCTCTGAATAAACTGGCAACTATTTGACAGTGTAACTGCTTTAAACTATTTTATATAAGGGGAAAAACTGCTATACATAAATAACAATGATATGTATCTGCCATGACCTTCTTATGTCAGTCTGAATTGTGGGTGGATCTACCAAAACGGTTAATGACGGCTGACAGACGCTGCTGAAATACCGTGGGAGGGCAGAGATAAGGCGACTGACAGGCTGTGCGCCGGTGAATCACGACGCTAAGCTGCCGGCTCACTTGCCAGACGTCTGAGTTAAGTGGTTACTGTCTTTCTTGGGAAAGAGATGCTCTCCGAGGCACATGAATGACATGAAAGATGATTAATCATTCGAAAATAAAGCGTAGCTACACAGCAGGTTAAGACTTCAAAATATAGAGTACAGCTAACACAGTAGCTTTTAAAAAGCTTTTGATAACATTTCAATTACTGAATTGATTCATTTAAAGATCCCATGCATTTTTTACGTGTCATTTGAATTTGATCTCTTTAAGTGGATAAAAATACTTTAAATAAAACAATTAATTATTAAGGTTCAAATATTAACTGGATGAGCACATATTCATGATGATCTAAATTTATGCAATATAAACTGGTCTCATTTCTAGCAAGGATTTTGCAAGGACTAAATGAATTATGCAGAAATACTGCCATCTAGTGGTAAAATAGACAAAGTAATTACCCACAAACTAATGTTTTTTGAAATGTTATAGACTTAAATATCAATTCATAGTGCTCGAAGACATCCATCCATCCATCCATCGTCCAACCTGCTTATCGTACTGGGTCGCGGGGGGTCCGGAGCCTATCCCGGAAGCAACGGGCACGAGGCAGGCAACAACCCTGGATGGGGGGCCAGCCCATCACAAGGCACACTCACACACACCATTCACTCACACATGCACACCTAAGGGCAATTTAGCAACGCCAATTAGCCTCAGCATGTCTTTGGACTGTGGGGGGAAACCGGAGTACCCGGAGGAAACCCCACGACGACACGGGGAGAACATGCAAAATCCACACACATGTGACCCAAGCGGAGACTCGAACCCAGGTCCCAGAGGTGTGAGGCAACAGTGCTAACCACTGCACCACCATGCCATGCTCGAAGACAGATTTTGGAAAATCATTACTTAGACTGCCATAATATTTTTATTTCCATATTGTTCAGAGGACCAGAAGAAAGCATACTGCTGCTCATTATACAGAGCTGCATAAACCAGCAAAAACTGCAGGCTACATTTTGTTACTGGCGGGTAGAATCACCTTTAGCACAAGTAATTGATTTCTGTAAGATCTCTTGCAGAGATTCTGATCCACCCTTATTTCAGTTTGTTGATGTTCGAGGGCACCAGTCTATGTGTGGCTGATATTACTGCAACTTCTGAATCTTACATTTTTTTTACACCATTAAAAAATGGCTGGACCACAGACAGGCAAACAACATCAGTTGTGACGGCCCTTGAGATAAGCCTAAGAGCATGAAATGGCAGGAGCTCACCTGTTCTGGGGTGCGGTTGAACAATCTTTCCAGCTGCTCCTTTCTACGCCTCTCGTGTCCTGCGTCAAACACGTAGATTTTGGGTTCGCACCCAGTGCCAGCGCGGATCTTTGAGAGTTTGGCACAGATGTTGTAGTAGCGCTCTTTCAGGTCTTCAACTGACCGCTTCTGTACGAGTAAATACAGTCAGGATCAGTCGCACATTCACAGACAACCCACAGTACCCACCTTGGGAGGTAGTGTGAAAACCCAAACATAAGCTAGAAAAATGTGCATATGATGAGAACAACTGGGCGGTGGTGTGAGTGCAGAATAGGACTCTGTGCCAGTAACCAGAAGGTCGCTGGTTCAAATCCCATGACTTCACCACTGGGCCCTTCACTCTAGGGGCATTAGGCTGTAATGCCAAAATTTGATCTTGGGTCACATGCAGAGCAAGATGGGATGTGTGAAAATTACAGGTTTCCCATAAGCATGAATAAAATATCATTACTCCATTAAGGCTCATCCTAAACATTATACAGGTGAAACTTGAAAAATTAGAATATCATGCAAAAGTTCAATACTTCTTGACATTCCTTTGAGTTCGTGTTATTCATATATTATAGATTCATTACACAGAGTGAAATATGTCAAGCCATTATTTCTTGGAATTTCGATGATTATGGCTTACAGATAATAAAACCCAAAATTCAGTGTCTCAGAAAATTAGAATATCACATAAGATCAATAAAAAAAACGGATATTTTAAATAGAAATGACAGGCTTCCGAAAAGTATGTTCATTCCTATGCACTCAATACTTGGTTGGGCCTCCTTTTGCATGAATTACAGCATCAATGCGGCCATTCAGGTCATCTGCATTGTTGGATCTGGTGTCTCTCATCTTCCTCTTGACAATACCCCATAGATTCTCTATAGGGTTCAGGTCAGGTGAGTTTGCTGGCCAATCAAGCACAGTAACACCATGGTCGTTGAACCAGCTTTTGGTACCTTTGGCAGTGTGGGCAGGTGCCAAGTCCTGCTGGAAAATGAAATCAGCATCTCCATAAAGCTTGTCAGCAGAAGGAAGCATGAAGTGCTCTAAGATTTCCTGGTAGATGGCTGCGTTGACTGTGGACTTCAGAAAACACAGTGGACCAACACCAGCAGATGACATGGCACCCCAAATCATCACTGACTGTGGAAACTTCACACTGGACTTCAAGCATTCTGTGTCTCTCCACTCTTCATCCAGACTCTGGGAGCTTGATTTCCAAATGATAGGCAAATTTTACTTTCATCTGAAAAGAGGACTTTGGACCACTGAGCAACAGTCCAGCACTTTTTCTCCTTAGCCCAGGTAAGACGCTTCTGACGTTGTCTCTGGTTCAGGAGTGGCTTGACACGAGGAATGCGACATTTGTAGCCCTCAGTCCACTCCTTGTGAAGTTCCCCCAAATTCTTGAATGGATTTTGCTTGACAATCCTTCTCAAGGCTGCGGTTGTCCCTGTTGCTGGGGCACCTTTTCCTACTATACTTTTTCCTTCCACTAAACTTTCTATGAATATGCTTGGATACAGCACTCTGTGAACAACCAGCTTCTTTGGCAGTGACCTTTTGTGGCTTACCCTCCTTGTGGAGGGTGTCAATGACTGTCTTCTGGACATCTGTCAAGTCAGCAGTCTTCCCCATGATTGTGAATTCTACTGAACCAGACTGAGAGACCATTTAAAGGCTCAAGAACCCTTTGCAGGTGTTTTGGAATAATTAGCTGATTAGAGTGTGACACTTTGAGCCTACAATATTGAACCTTTTCACAATATTCTAATTTTCTGAGCTTTTGGATTTGGGGTTTTCATAATCTGTAAGCCATAATCATCAAAATTATAACAAATAAATATCTGATAAATATCTCACTTTGCATGTAATGAGTCTATATCATGTATTAGTTTCACCTTTTAAGTTGAATTTCTGAAATAAATGAACTTTTGCACGATATTCCAATTTTTCGAGTTCCACCTGTAGGTGTGACAACTAAGCAACATGCAGATTGACAGAGAGCTCCACAGCAGAAGTACAGTTTGGTTATAGTATCGCCATGAAGCGCCACATAAGCTTGGTATCTCTAGTGACTCACGCAAAAGTGCCAGTTGTAGTGATATCTCTGCTGCTGCCATCTTTGCTTTATGTCTTCACATGCCCAGAGACAAGCACAACAGTGGCTCACCTCTGACCCCTACAGTGTAAGTGCTGAACTGCAGCTCCCAGTACACTAACACCCGTGAAGGCCACACTAACCCTGAACTGCTGGTGGTCATAGCGGTCATGGATTACGATAAAACGCAGATCAAAGCTCTTGCAGAGGTCGAACAGGTGATCTGTCTCTGCTTTGGTCCATCCGTCATCGTGAAGGTACATGAGATACTCCTGCTCTGAGTACACAGGCACCTGAACGGTCTGGAAGCAGAGGGAGACAAAGACAGAATGAGTCTCAATTTATCCAGGTAAACAAATACAAAACAACAAGCAACTCTGTCTGTGAATTCATGTTTCAGAAAGTGATGTGAAAAATAATGTACACTTCTATAGCAGGGTTCCCCAATTCTGGTCTTGGAGGGCCATAATCCAACACAGTTTGCAGATTTCCCTGTTCAACCACGTTAGTCAGCTAATTACTATGTTTAGTAGGTGTGTGTGAGCAGAAAAATCTGCAAATAGTGTTGCAAACTGGCCCCCCAGGACAGGAATTGGGGAACCCTGCTATATGGTTTCATATACCTGGGCATAAATAACAATCACCTGGTCCTTCCAAAATTAGATAAATTTAGCCTGACCAAGTCAAAGTGCAGTCCATAACCCCCATGAGACACTGTAAGAGGGGCCCTAAGAGGGCCGCACATAGACAGATGCCGTCAAACATCGACGACCTGAAATAATATTGTAAAGGTGGGTCAAAACCCCTGCAATGTGATAGACTGATGAGTTCATACAGATATCAGTTACACTTAATTCTGCTAAAGGTGGTTGTACCAGCTACTGAAACAAAAGGCAAGCTTACTTTTTCCACACATGGCTTCTGCAATTTTGCATACTTTTATTAAAACGTGTTGTTTTTCATCCGTGGTTAGATTTACAATTTTAGGACCTAGTGAGGACCACATTTTTTTGTATATCCTCTGATATATAAAACCATGGAAATGAAAGAGGGTGGACCATCATGCTATTTGCATTTGTACTAGTGTGAACTATAATATTCGGTCGTACTTTTACTTGAGGGGCACAAGTAACTTAGTAGCTCAGTTACTACTCTAGTACAAAATTATGAACAAACATAGTAACTGCATGAAATACATGACTGATTAATGATGAATGAACACGGGATCAGTACGTAACTAACACTTAGTTTCTGGTCAATTAATACATTTAGTAAGAGAGAACTAATACATTACTTGTGGCCCCTCAAGCAAAGTGTTAGCTAATATTCTTCCATAATATTGTATTTTTTGTGGCAATGCTAACAACAAAAAATAAATCACATTTCACACTACACTATCAACACTGGCTGGAAGTTCATTCCCACGAAACAATGCATACATACAGCAAGGATACAACAAATACAATGGGGAAAAAATCAGAGCATGCTGTGACTTTCTCCTGATATTTAAACAAGTTTTTAAACCTTAAGATCCAGGCATTAATGAATGATTCTAACTCACAAGTGGTGTGTAAGCCCTTTCACTCTGACATGCAGCAGTGATTAAACTGTTACTGTGCACTCCAACTCCAAACAAACAAAAAGGGAACTGAGAATGTGACCTTATTAAAGCGGGCGAATGGGTAGTCTTTGCCCTCCTCCGTCAGGCGTCTCCAGTGGTGAAATATGGCGCCATCTCTCCTGGCGGGGTTAGTGAAAGGCATCCACTTCCAGGGACGTACTCTCTTACAGCCCAGCTTGGCCTTGACTGTCCGATAGCCCTGCGTGGTGTCGCTAGGCAACAGTGGAGGAGCATCTCTGTGGGGTACAAAATATTTAGATATATATATTACTTTTTAGGGGGGGAAATGTATAAATAATGCAGAATTATGAAAATGACCGGGGACGTAATTCAATGCAAAAACAAAGTGCACTCACTTTTTATCCGAATAGAGGAGAGCATAAACCTCTCTGTGCATCCCCTCGGGCCGTTTGAATGTCAGTGTCTCTGTTGACTTCTTTGACTTTTTCTAGAAAAATTAAAATATACATTGTACTCAAAGCAAAGTTAGAACACATAATGTTTAATAGCTAAACATACAAACAGTGCAAATAGTTGTATGACTGTTCTCCAACCTCTTATCTTGGTATTGTGAGATATTTCAGTCAAGGTTTCAAAATCTATTTGGTGGATGGGCGCATAATCCTTATCTTAATCCAAAATGTCCAAAGCTACACAAACACCATGCACATACCTGAAAATATGGTTTCACTATAATGACAAGACTGACTGAATAAGTTGCCATGTGTTTTCCCCTAGCAACTGTATAACGGCACTGATTAATGCAGGGATGTACGGTACAAAATTCCAAACGTACACATCTTTAATAAAATGGGAATACAGCATTTACCCTGCTATACTATTTTATTGCTTCTCCACTGAAGTGTACATTTACGGGAGTACTTTTAATAGCAGTTATGGGGGGGATACAGTTTTAAAATTCCAGAGTGTCCCAAACTGAACATTACGTGATCACTATAGGAAAGGCATCCTTATGACCTGCACTGGCTGGTGTGACATGAAGCTAACCAATATAATGGTAGATATATTAATAGCTCACAGAATGTGAGATGAGTGGACATCATATTTTCCAAATGATTCCTTTAATTATTCAGTATAATTTAACACCAAACAACCCCCGTATGTATATAAGACATGAAACAAATGTAAACAGAATAAGTATTTACAACACATCAAGATATTTAAGTTTAAAAAAAATAACTTAAAAGTTAAATCAGCACCATATGCAATAAGATGCAGGCGGAAATCTTACTTTATCAGAGTTAATGATGTCCTTCTTACTGATGGGTCCCGAGTCATTGTCACCGCCTCCCAGTTCCAGTATATCTCGTACATCTGCACCAGTTGCCATCGTGTACTGAAAGAGAACGTTAATTAAAGTACAAGCAGAAATAAATACTGACACAAAACCCAAAATCCAGGCCAAACGGTGTCATCAAAGGCTCTCATCACAGATTTCGAGTCACCTGACAGCTTTGCTACCACAGAAAACGCCCCAACCTCCCACGAACTACTAATTATTGCCAATTAATCAAGTCCTAACCTTTACTCGTTTGATAGATTTTGAAGTGACTGTTACATTTTTACTTCAGCTAAGTGTAACAGCGAATAAACCAGATTATCTGAAGGGTAAGCCACCATAGCCGCGCTGCTCCAGGCGGGCGGTTAGGATGACGGTCAGCAGCCGCGACAGCCTTTGATAAACAACCTTCATGACACATCTTTCGCTCTAACAAAAAAAGCCTTAATCTAAAATTATTTATACAAATTTTGATTATACATGTGACGCCTTCCTGAAATTATTCTGAATGACCGTGTACACATTTGTTTGTAACTAAACAGCTAGACGAGTCACAGAAGCTAAGATGCTAACACGCGCGAGCCAAAACGGTGTGTTAACTTATAAAGAAGATAACTGCACTAGTTTACGTACTTAAGGTACTTGCCAGGGAAACCAATGTGTGTTTATATACAGTATGTGTTTATATATTTACATGTTTACGGGCCGCCCGCCGTCCCGTCCCACAAATGAATGAGCGAAGCGTTCAGCCTTTGCTACATTCGCTTGAACAGGAGCCACTCGGTATAAAGTAGCTTTCGATCCGTATTTATGTTCCTCTGAGAATTGATTCCGGAGAACTCTCGCTTTCAAAAACACAATGGCTATGGATGTAAAAGTCTGAGATATAACGTTAGCTAGTGATCTTCCGCTTTCATAAGGCAATTTCTAGTGCCGGCAGCTAAAATGCTACTGTAGCGGAGCGTTGGTTTGTCTACAGACATTATGCCAGAGCCCATAGCTTCCGGTTTTAACATTTCAAAATAAATGTTGTAATATTATCTACGCTTACGTTTGTAAGTGCAGTAGTATATAAACTCCGTTGTAAAATCTCTAAAAACTTTTAATGACTTGGATTTTAAGGGGCCACACTGATTAAGTTCTATGTTAAAACATTAACCTTGGGACTACAAGTATGCCTGCTTTAACTAGTAAACACAGAAATCGCTGCAATAAAACTTACTATAGGTAACACTTTACTTGGCAGGGCACAAATAATATACTATAGTAATATGTTATGTATTAATTACTCACAAACTAAGTCTTAGTTACATATTGATCTCATGTAAATTCGATCATCATTAATGAATAGTGATGAATGTTTTATCTAAATTTGTTACTATATTTGTTAGTTCTGTAAATTCTGTGAACTAGTAATGGAACTAGTGAAGAAGCTACTATATTTGTCCATGATTTAATTATGCTTTGTACTTAAGTAGTAACTGAATTATAAGTATTTGTGCCCCGTCAAGTAAAGCTTACTATCAGGCAAAACGGAACACTTTACCTTTTAGATATTGTATTACCTTTTTTTTTTTACAATATCGTACTCTACAATACAAAGGAAAGGATTAAGTAACACGTGAACTAGAAAATATTTTTTGTATAAATTGAAGATGTCATTCTGATTTTAAAACGTACAGATGCAAAAATTGACATCATCAGGAACTTAATAGTATGGATCCTATTTTAAGAAGCATGGGGTGCGAGTAGAGTCTGGTAATTATATTTCACCAATTTTAGGGTCCTTTGATTAGATTTAATCTTTTTCGTTAAGACCCTCCAAAGGGTTATCCCATTACCGGTTGACTTTTATTATGGTAGAAAAATCCCGGAAGCGGTAACCGGAAAGGGGAAACCGGATGTCTTGGCTGCTAAGAGTACTGACTTCTGGGAAATATTTCGAAACAGAAATAATAAACGCGCCCTCTTTTGACATGGAGTGTGTTATTAGACAACACAATAGGTAGTAATACTGGCAACCTGAAAAAAATGAATATTATAGATGTTTTAATAGTATCGAATAATATGCAGTTTTAGAAAGTATTTGTACTTGTACAGAAATTCATATTTATTTTCATGTTCTGGACTGGGTAACTTGATCATCTGGAATGTGGGTTCAAATCCCACATCTGCTCTGTATGTGAGTTTAGTTTATATGTTCTCTCCGTGTCTGGTGGGTTTTCTCTGGGTACTAGATTTCTCCTTGCTCCTGTGGTCCCTAGACATGAAGTTAGGCTATCACGCATCTCTAAATTGCCCAATTAATTACTGCCCCCCTTTCTATCGGTTAACTGGTATCCCAACCTTGTGCCCTCTGCTACCTGGGGCAGATGTCTGGAAGATGAATTGATGAATTTATGTTTAGGTTAAATTCTTACCACCATTAGATATAGCAAATTAAATTTGTAGTGGTGTAGAATTTAACAATATTTGTTTTGTTTCCTTCAGTAACACATCTTGTAATCGATTCAGTATAATAGCATGCCAAATACTGCATTAGATTAATATGTGTAGTTTGGTAGAATCCCAAGGGAATGTAGTAAGACTTCAACGTGGGTGTACTGCAAGCTTGCAGACAAAACACAGTGCAGTTTCTTGAAACCCTTTTGGATAGCTGAAAGGCAGTGGGTGTTTGACTCCACCAGGGCTGCCCTTTGTTACCAGTTCTGTTAATAACCTTTATGGACAAAATTTTCGGTGACCTTAGGATCATGTCTTTGCTTTTCACAGATGATGTGGTCCTATTGGCTTCATTGGGCTGTAACCTGCAGCATGCACTGGGGCGGTTTGTAGCTGAGTGTGAAGTGGCGCTGATGAGGATTAACACTTCTAAGTCTGAGGTCATGATTCTCATCTGGAAAATGGTGGATTGCCCCGTCCAGGTTGGGGATGAATTTGAGTTTCCTTCGCTGAGAGTCCAGGCTCAGCTTTAGAGATGGGATTAAAAGCTCAGACATTCCAGAGAGGCTAAAAGTGGAGCTGCTGCTCCTCCACATTGAATGGAGCCAGTTGAGGTTGTGCGGGAATCTATCTAGGATGCCTCCTGCACACATCTACATCCAACTGGAAGGAGAACCTGGAAGAGACCCAGGAAACCCTGGATTGATTATATCTCTCAGCCGGCCTGAGAATGCCTTGGTATTCCCCTGGAGAAGCTGGAAGAAGTGGCTGATGAGAGGGAGGGGGCAGGTATCCCTGTTTAGACTGTTGCCCCTGTGCCCTGGTTCTGGATAAAATGCAGAAGATGGATGGATGATCAATTTTTTTATACCAGTTTTTCTTGAATGCAGTTTTTCTCATGCATTGGCATATTTCATGAAACATGCTTAACCTTCTCACAACTATAACAACATTTCTCAAAACAATTCATGCACATAGCACAACATGATGGTTTAGCTGCAAAAACCCAAAACTCACCCAAAATAATTAACTCATATCTCAAAAGCAAATAATTACACCAATGAATTAGTCAGTGGCACTAAAATGAAAAGTTCAATCTGCATCTTTTTAACCATGTGAGTCAAAAAGTCACACAGCACTGTATAACACAAAAACAGTAAAATGGCAATTCACCTGAGCACCCGGAGGAAACACCACAACAATGGGGAGAACTTGCAAACTCCACACCCATGGAGCCATGGCAGTGACTTGAGCACTGCTCCCTGAGGTGTAAGACAGCAGTGCTAACCCCCACACCACCCCCTTCGATGGCTTTATTAACTGTTCTGGATGTGCTGGCTGACATGATGATCATCTACATGTAGTTTTGGGTGTAAAATTATTACATTGGGAAACTATATAATCCTTTTTGACCAACAAGACTAAAGCAACTAAAAATTATGCCAAATGCTGACAGTTGTACAAGGTAATTTGCATAAATCATTTGCACTTTCTGCAAAGCAATGAGAAATTATATTATGCTCTGCACAAATGACATGGACGTTTTGCAAATGTTAGTTGTAATTGTAATTTGAGAAATGTCCCAAAGCAACTGAAAAAAACTAAGTAAAAAAAGTAGGAGTAGGCTGTTGTTTGTAAATTGTGGGTAAATCCATGCAGTTACCTGGCTCAGTGGAACCTTGATTTAGTTCGATTCAGAAATGCGTGTAAAATGTATTTAACCAGGCATATGATACTAAAGTTTTTTTCCACTATGATAAAATGATTTACACAGCTAACAGCGCGGCATCTGTCTCCCATAAATAACGAAACCAGAAAGGAACGAAGCCACGTACATTCCCGCGTCACAGCAACACAAGAGCGTCTGTAGCAACGGTGAATAATCCTGTTGCTGGGTTTGCACATTTTCCTTCACTGCTGGACCAGAACAATCTTTCTAAACATAACCCGCTGGTAATTTATATAACATTAACGGTTACCTCCGTCTTGGTGTTTTTTAGCCTAATTTTTCAGCAACAGGCGTGTTCTGTGAACAATCCACTGGCTATTGTAGGATTTTTCAGCAGTATTTCTGCAATTGTACTTTGGAAAGTGGTGATGTGAGTGGAAATAGTAGTACTACTTATCCAATACATATACATGTATCCACTGATTAGTAATGCACACCGGTTCACCCTTCCAGAATTAATTTGATGTTAGCAGAAAATGTTTAGTCCTTTCAACCGATGAGTACGCAATTAACAATACTGATAAAATGAAGTATTTAGCAACTATAATGATTAGCCTAACTTGATCCGTTTATTTTTTTCTTTGTAGAAGTGTCACTACTGTATTTAGTAAAGGTACGTGATGTCCAGCAGAAAACAGCTGGTGGAGTTTCTGCGCGAATGGGACCGCGGCGGCGCGGCGGCGCGGAGCCACATGCTAGAGGTGTTCGTGGGCCGCAGTCTGGGGGAGACCGGCCCGGAGCTGGAGCTGCGCTTCGCCCAAGCGGCCAGTCTGTTTCTGGCCAGACTCACGGCGTGGGTTAGGCTGCAGTATCCTTTAACGGCGGCGGGTTGCTGACACTGTCTACGTCTGCGGGGAAAATCGCCGCTATTACGATCTGGACCTTAAAGTTAACTACTCAGTTTCTACACATGCATTTTGTGTAACGCACTATTATCTTACAGGTGTGTAAATAACCATGAAAGACATAAAGAAACGACGACAATAACTATTTTCTGTAAACTGTAATTTACGTCTTTTTGTTATTTTTTATTATTCGCAGTTTTATATACGTTTTGCAAAAGATCATGGTCATGAAGACAGAAAACAGATAATGAAAGCCAGCGTCACTAAAAGAATGCCAGATAAAATTTAATAGAACGTAAAACTGAACACGCAAAAAGACGGAATATTTCTATGAATATGGCCGCCCAGATATTAAGATTGAAACTTCTGTTTCAAGACCATAATAACTGGCATAAAATGCTGTAAATTACATCCCTTTACAGGAATTTCTCAGCTATATGTTTGGGACATACTTGGGGCTGCAGCTTAGAGCTGTGTCTGTGTTTCTTTCAGCTTCGAACAGGTGATTAAAATCGTAACGTTTGTAAAAATGCTTCTTTTCAAAGCTGAAATCATTTTAATGTTGCTTTAATCTTTATTCTTTTTCCCCCCCAACAGTCACCGTTACCTCACTGAGTTTCTTGAAGTGGGAGGGGTTCTTACTCTGTTGGAAATCTTAAATCAGAAACAGATAAAAGATGAGGATAAGACAGAAGCCCTCCGTCTATTGCAGATCATTTCCAACGCGGGTCGGAAGTACAAAGAGTTCATTTGTGAAAACTTCGGTACTAACCCATGATCATTTTTTCGAAAGTCTTTCAAAAACCGCTAAAAGGTGTCACGAATCACTTCCATATAGTATTTTTCTTACCCGAATCCCAACAGACAGCATTTCTATTATGTAGTGATATTTCTTCACTCAACTGTGTACTGTACTTTGTTATTAGGGGTGGGGACACATGTTAATAATTTAGATACAAAAGTGGTGGGGTTGTTTAATCCAAATTAAACTGGAGTGGGGGGGGGGGGGTTACACACCTTTGTTCGCCCCAGCCCTCACTCCCCAAGTTCCATGTGATTTGCAGGAGTCCAAGCCATCGTGGAATGTCTGGCCAAGTCCACATCTGTGGACACCAAGGAGACAGCCAGTGTCCTGCTGGAGTCCCTGGCTCATGGCAACTATAAATACCAGAAGCAGGTCTACAAAGGGCTAGTGGCCTTGCTGCAGTGCACTTCCCCTACGGCTCAGCAACTTGCTCTGCAGAACCTCCGCACTGCACATGTAGGCTCACTGTTGATTGAGTCTGAAGATCCAACTTTTCCATTTTTGCTGAATGTCTGTATCTGATTATTCTTTTTTTCCCTGGTCATTTTTCACAGAAAATTGTGAATTCTGCTCATCCTAAAATTATAGAGCCTTTGTTGAATATGCTGAAGTCATTAAACCTTGAAGTCCAATATGAAGGTAAGTTAACTAAAATAATTATAGGGAATTTTATGAAAAATTAAATGTATCAGCGCATAAGTTTTATCGGACATGACAGGAAATTATAGTATAAAGTGATGTCACACTGCTGTACAGATAACTGTACAATAGCAAGTCACATAGAATTGTACTGTTATGTTTAAATTCTTACCATCCTTCGATTTTATTTTACTTCAGTCCAATTTAGCTTAGAAAGTGTATAGACATTTAATAATGTGTTTTTTTTACTGATCATTTATAGTTTCAACAGTATATCTCTATTGCTGTCATATATCATTGTAATTGATTGACTTATTGTTGAAGAATGAGCAGTGTTTCTAGTAGTATCTGTTGATTTATGTTTTGTTATCTTTGATGTAACTAAACCCATAGCAGATACGTTATGCATATAACTAAATTCTGCCTGTGAGTAGCTAGTTAGATAATTATTGTGTTTTCACCTTTGTATGTCTTTGATTCTTTCAGCTATAGAATTAATCAGAGATTTAATGGCATATGATGAAGTTAAACCAGCTCTTCTGAAGGGTCTGGTCGCTTTGTTGAAACCAGTGAAAAAAGAACCACAGCAATATCAAATCCTTAAAGGTCTTTATTTTTGCCTATTTTCTTCATACAACTGTACTTATAGAAAATGGATACACATAATTCATGTAAATAGATTATGCAGTTTTTGGTGTTTAACTACAGTAAGTGTTGACCAGTATGTACAATTTACCATATTACTTAATATTGAACCCTGATTTTATACCTATTAATTAGCCTGAAAATATTTTTTTATACGATTCGTTAAAATATATACAATAGTTGAGCTTTACTGGCTGATATTAAATCATTTCAAATATTTATTTATTGTTGTTATATATAATTTTTTGTTAAATATAAGGTTATCAGTTTTGCTATAGTAATGAGGTCTGTTGCACCACTTGGTTATATGTACTGATAAATGTATGAGCACTTTAAAATAGGGGTGTAGAAACCAGGGGGGTGGGGGGTACGTGTACCCCCTCCCCCAACCGATATTTAAGTTGAGTTTATGCCCCCCCCTCAAAAGATATATATTTACATTTAAATTAAGTTTCTCTCCCAATATCAAACTCTCTCCTACGCCATTGACTGTAAAATCTGTTTTCTTTACCGCTGTTGTATGTCTCTCCCTTCACCATTCTGCAGTCACCTGTCACTTCTGTGCAAACAGCAAGCCTTCTTCCTATTGCAAAATCACTATGTTTGCTGCAGTCTTTTTGCTTTGACATGAAAGCCTTATTATCTTTATTTGTGTACTGCCATGTGTCATGCATGTTGCAAGGTCCCTCAGGGGTCTCCAGCATGGTACGAAGCATGAGGAGCTTTCTTAGATGCAACCATCTCTGAAAACTTGGCACAAAATTATATAAATTGATGTTTTTATTTTCTCCTATGCAATACAGTGATTTTAGCAATTATACTTGTGTTTTATTGGGATGATTTTTTTTTTAGATCCTGAAAGAATCAACATGACGGCATCGTTGCCTGTTTTTATTCAACAAGCAGCTGCAGCAAAAGCTATAAGGTAAATCACATACAGCGCTCTTACTTTGTTTCTTATGTGCTAGTTTGCATAAAACCATTCAGTAACACTTCACATTAAGTGCACCTTTATAATGCATTTATAATGCACTCATAGACCAGTAATAAACAGAATGTAAGTAAACCTTATTATGAAGATGCAATTAATGTTTTGTGAATGCATTATAAATGTATTATGAAAGTACACTTAATGTAAATTGTTAGGAATGTTTGTTATTAATGTATATTAAAACTGTATTGCCTTGATCATGTTGTATGACAGGTTAAGGTATATTTACATGCTTCTTATTGATGTTCATGAATACATTATGAAGCTGCATTCAAACTTCTATGAGTGCATTATAAATGCATTGTGAAAGTGCACTTAATATAAAGTACTACCAACCATTGCTGCTTTAGTCACAATTTGCAGAACAGGAGCCTGATTGAATTAGAAATTGTGATGATTAAGAAATTACCCAGTTAATGAAAGGTAAGTAATAAATTGACTGTTAAAATATCACTGCGCAGGATGCTGTCGCAGGGCAGCAGTCAGCTGTCACATGATCTGCTTCACCATGATGTAATGCATCATGTGCTGTATGCCATGGGTAACAGGGAGCATGCAGATTCCCAGAAGCAGGCCTGCCTGGCTCTGAAGGTATCACCTTCTTACCATCTGCATCCTTAAAGCTAACTGGATTGGATTGTCTGTGTCTGCGGCATAATTTTGTAGTAATTCTTTGCTCTGTGCTGTTGAAGTGCTATATAAAATATGTTTTCTTTTTCATTTTTAACTATAGCAATTTGTCCACACTCACCCAGTCCTGGAGGGGCATGTACAAGCAGCAATGGGGGTCACGTTGTTTGACTTGTTCATGGTGAGTGTATTCTGTAAGTTAAGATTGATTAGATCTATACGAAAGTAGAATGACAAGTTGCATTGTATGTATAGTGCCTTCCGCAATTATTGGCACCCCTTGTAAAGATTTGTAAAAAAAAATGGGAAAAATCCAACCTTTTCAAATAAATTTATTCAAAGAAAACCAAATCCTTCATCAAGAAATAATTATTTTCAACAAAAACATGTGCCACAAATATTGGCACCCCAGCATTTGCTTTGTACAGCCTCCCTTTGCCAGTATCACAGCATTGAATCTTCTCCTATAACATGTTATAAGGTTGGAGAATACAAAGCAGGGCATCTGAGTAATTCACCAACACTGATCCTTGGGGATTTTTTGCTTCTCTTACGATCCTCCTCACTGATTGTGGGGTAAAATAAACTTGGGTCCTTGGGCAGGTTTGTCACAGTTCCAGTTGTTGTCCACTTCTTTATTATTGCCCTAACAGTATAAATTGTAGCTATTTTTTTCAATACCCATTCCCTGAATTACTAAGGTCAGCACACTTCTCCCTCATTTGGTTTGTGTGTTCTCTTATCTTTCCCATGTTGATGGATGACTAGGGGAATTTGGGCTCTGTGTCACCTTATATTTGTATATTTGATCATGGATGGATGGATGGACGGACATGCTATTAAAAAACCTGAAAATGTAAAATTAATGTATATATAATGTTTTTTAAGCATTGATTTTGCATTTATACACAATTTTGTAAATGTGCATTGTTTAAACAATTAAATCTGTTTTAGAATAATCCTGAGGCTTTGTACATGAAGATGAATGACATTCAAGCAGATATATTGGTGTCAAACAAAACAAACATTTCTGAAGGTAAGAAGGTTGTGGGTTCCACACTTAACCTTGTGGTGACATTCCTTAATATCATTAGTTTAGTTTGCTGCATCTGTAGTAAGTAAATCCTGCAATTTAATTTCAATTCTTTAAAAAAATAGAAATTAACCTCCGAGATGGTATACCTGTCAAAGCAAGGTGTACCCAGCAGTAGGGATCGTAGGGCTGAGATATACAGCATATACATGGCGGATATGTGGATGTAGGCCTGTGGAGCCTGTGGACTCATGACTGGACCTACCTTTTCAGGGGTCCTAGGCAAGCTTTTGCTGGGAGTCCCCCCTAGCAACACAGGTAACATGGGGACCCAAGGCGAATGTGAATTCTCCCTATAGCTAGAATTGGCCATATATTTGTGTGCACGTAAACATTTGAATTTGATGCATACAAACGCTCCTCTACTTACGAACTTTCAACTTACAAACTTTCAGACATACGAACAAAGAGGACTTTAAGTCCAAATTGTGTTCATTGGGCTCCCGTTTCCTGTCCGCAACATCATTTTTTTTTTCATGCACGCCAATTCTGCCTAGTATGACTTCTGGCCGCTACTCCCGCCATGCAGCAGTGTAGCGTGCGGACTCCCAGCATCCTAGTTCCTAGTACTTGCGTATACCCTTAAAATGATGTTGAATAACGACTTACGAACATTTCAAGTTGTGAACGGCTTTTCGGAATGTATCTCATCTTCATAAGTAAAGGAGTGTCTGTACAGTATGTTTGTTTTTTGTTTTTAATTTTGTGTAATTATTCTTGTAACATAACCTATGTAAGAGAGGCTGTGTGCTGGTGTGCTTCTTGGGGTGGGGCATAAAATTATTGCTATATTCTAAGCAAACAAAGGGTTGGTGTATGGCTCGGTGAGTTACAATGCTGTGCCTGTGATTGGAAGGTCAGTGGTTCAAATCCTGGAGTCAGCTGGGTGATTTCACTGTTGTGCCCTTGAACAAGGCCCTGAATCCCCAATTGTTCCAGGGATTTTCTGACCCTGCCTTCTAAAAAATAAACAAACAAATAAAATGCCTCATTCTCGATAAAAGCATTTGCTAAATAACATAAATGGAAACAAAAATTCCAGGGGGCGGAATAATCAGAGCAGGCTTGGATTTATGTCAAAAATTGTTTAGCTAATTGTCATGTGTTGAGGTAAAGAGTTGAGTAATTGTTTCCATATTTTCATCAATGTTTGAAAATTGTATAAATTGTTGGAAGTGATTACTAATTCTGTTTGTTGTTCCTTTCAGTTCTTGAAGAGTGTGCATGCTGACAGAACTCCCTTATGTGTTGCATGCATTGAAGTACTTGTCAGTAAATACACAACTGACACTTTGAAGGTCTGTCTTTCTAATCCTGGCATTACTTATATAAAGTATAAAGGAGATGTGTCACTCAATCCGCATCGCTAACTGCTTATTCCAGCCCACCCAACACAAACAAAAGACACAAACACACAGAGAGTGCAGAAGTGGTTAAGACACCCCCCCCCCCAGGAGACATGAGGCAACACTGTTACGCATTAAGCCACTGTATCTCTCAGAAGGATGCTGTTCGTAGGTATTGTAAGGTGATTTACAGACATCTTGAATTTGAAAACTCCTCTTGGATCTTTATGACCAGGCCCAAATACAATCAGTCTTTCTTCATCCATGCCTATGGTTCTGGGCATCATTCCTACCAGAGGAAACTTCACATTCTCCCTGGTGAAACTCAATTGAAGGATTACAAATGCAATGCATTTCCCTGCCTTTCTTTTTAATTAGAATCTAATACTGGTTATAGTTTATCATCTGACTTTTATAAAACATTTTATTTGGACCCCAGAAATAAGTAATTTAACTACTGATATTATTCAAATAACAACAATCCTGCTGCGCTTATAGTGACCTAAAGTATAAAAGATGTCCAGACACTGGGGAAAATGCAATTATTCTCCATAACATAATATCATGTTCATTAAACATTCATGTGAGGACAACATTAAATCAGAAAATAAAGCATACCCACACACTATTAAAATATTAGCAATTTATTTACAGTCAAAACATGTCTGGCATATTAAATTAACACCATTTTACAAGTTTTCATTTGTTCCTTTGGATTAAATATTCAGACAATTAAAACAAGGGTGCTTAAATGTCCAGAATAGGTACATCTGAATTGTACATTAAAAGCTGACAAGCCTGGGATTTTGACAGTCACTTTTCACTCTATTCATCAGGCAATCCAACGTTACAATTGTAGTATGTTATCTAAAGAGCAGACTAAAATCAGTTTAGAAAACTGGTTTTTAAAAATATCAACTGGTATTAAAGTATGATACCCTTTCACACAATGAAGCTGATGTGTTTTAGCTCCATTATTAACTTTGAAAATGAAGTCAAATTACTTACAAAAGAATCACAAAACTTTGTGTTTGTGACATTCAGTCAGCTACTGAAATTTATTATCTGCTTTCCCCCCACAAATACTTTAATATTAAACTCCATGAGTCTGATAACTTATTTAAATAACTTACTCTAATGGTATGAAAAATATCAATATACTACAATGGTATGGAAATGAACAACTGTGAACAATTCTTGTTCACATATTTGTATCGAATGTCTTCTTAAGACATTGACATAAATACATGCACATCACTGGAAAAAACAACCTCTTCCCTTACGTATGACCAGATGTTGGTGTAATCGGGTGGGGTCTCAAAAATCATTACTTGCCCTGTATACAACTGTATGCATGCATATACTGTATAATCTTGAGGTAACAGAAAGACTTCTGAACAAAAAAGTAAACAGTAATTTTTGGAAGCACTCATCTCACATGATGCAGTTTTGACCTTTGACCCTATACTTATAACCATGACCACTTATGTGTATAGCTGTAATTCTGCAAAAAAAAAAAAAAGAATGAAGTTTCAGGTCTTAGAAATCCATGCAATTTGATCAGTAACATCCTTGTAAAGCAGTGTGCATCTTCCTTTAAAGTTCATGACTTACGTCCTGCACAATTCACTAAACATGGCTTTTAGATTATTTTAGGTGTTAAAAAGTTCAAACATGTCAGGATCGATGTTATTCAGTTTCTAAAGTGCTTTTTAGAGTGATGTTATGTGAGGTGTATAAAGCAAATGTGCTGGACGGATATCCTCAGGTGAAGTTTGTAAATCGTCCCTGTCGTATCTCCTCCTTCTGCATATGCTCGTAACATGACTGCAAAAAAGAACAAAGTCATATTTGCATTATGTCTCTGTGTATCTTACTCTGCATTGCTTACAGTTTACATTGTGTGCCATCAAAGAAATATATTATCATGATTACATCAATGGTTATAACTGTGGAGTTTGATTGATGCCGTCAGTAAATTAATTTATCTTAAGGAATGCGAATTAATACTGTCATTTGTGTATGGAAGCTTTTGCATTTCATCTAAAATTCAAAAGTGCTGCCACTTAAAAAAGTTATACCTGTTAAAAATGTTAATTCTAATAAATCAGGCTAAGGCATTATTATACAGGCTCAGTTACCAGTGAGTGCATACACATTCAATTAAAAAAATATTAAATGCAAGTGTCCATTGGATAAGGGAAAGGCCCAAAATGAACTAAAGCTGTATTTCAGTGTTTATGTTCTGACCATTGATTTCCACTTATAAACTAGAATATGACAGAATTAGGACTATGCATTAACTTTATTGTCTATTAACACAATTAATTTAAACAGCTTGGCATTCATTAACAATAAGCCAAGCTGCGTAACATCGATGAAATGGTACTAAGGACATTGAAAATCAAAATTTTTAAATGAACCATAACTGAATTAACCATGTGCTTCAGTGTATTCAATGTAGAAGAAGTATATGAAATAAAGAATAGAGCTGACTTGGTGTCTACTTTGTCTCCATTGTACATGCACTAATAGCTGGTAGCTAATCCTTTGATGTGTTAAAGATGCAACCACTTAGCTATACCTCAAAAGCCGTCAACAGGAAGTCAACCATTCCTCCCTGCATTTGTGGGGTCATCATATCACGAATGAAATGCAGCTCTGACCCCAGGTGCTGAATCCTGTAACAGGTGCGAGTTTAAACTATCTGAGATTTTTGTAAAATCACAAAGAAAATCTGACAAAACCCATACATTATAGGTCTATATAAGGTTCATCTACATTAGCAGTAACACATTGATTAGATATGTTTTCGCTCAGGAATAGGAATTTGTCTGTTAATTGTTACCTTGCTCTAGAAATAACATAGATCAGCAGAGGTAGGAGGTCATCCAAGGGCAGTTTGTATTCCCTGCATAGTATCCGGTTCACTGTTCTCTCAATTTCATCCACAGTGTGAAAAAGGTTGTCTAGTTTCTCTTGAGGGTCTGCTGTTGTACTTTAACAGGAATCAAAAGACATTGAAAAATGCATTACAAGATGTACAGTATATATAGTGTACATTGAAGACAAAGTTATGTTCAAAAGTATTGACACCGAAAATGATAACTCTATTCCCGTATAGGGTGGAAGTAAAACATCATTTGTTCATCAAACATCATCATTAATTAAGTCAACAAATAAAGTAACCGACAGGAATGTGGGTTTAAGCAGAAATATGACAGACCCATCACCATGGGCTTGAAAGCAGGTTTTTCCATCACTACTTCAAAAAAAGCATGTTGCAAAACTGCAGAACATCTCCAGACTATGCAACCGTAGCAATCCAATTTACCTGATCTTCTGGACGCATTCAATAGCAGAGAGGAAGCACTGATCGTGGACAAGTGAATACCTCTAAAAGGACAGCAAAAGAAAGATTCTGCTCAGTGTCAGGAGTTCAGACTGATTATGAATGTACAGTAATTACATATGATTACGAATGTAATTACATATGTACATATATGAATTTATGCATAAAGAGAAAACAGTAAAACAATTTTTCTTAAACACTTGTAGAATTTAAGATAAAGACATGTAACACATTATAAAACTCAATAAAAAAAATTAAAAAGAAGAGAGCACAATATATTTTGGTGTATCTATAGGTATAAATACCTATATACAGGAACATGGCAATTTCTTGTCCTAATAGTTCAAATGTGTAATTATTTTATGTTGTCTACCAATTACATCAATCCCTGGCTTTATATGCCTATAACATCCATCCATTCATTTTCTATAACCTCTTGTGCTACTCAGGGTCGCAGGGAATCTGGAGCCTATCCTAAAGCCTATGGGCACAGTGCAGGGAATAACCCGGGATGGGGCACCAAGCCTTCACAGGGCAGGGAATAACCCGGGATGGGGCGCCAAGCCTTCACAGTGCAGGGAATAACCCGAGATGGGGTGCCAAGCCTTCACAGGGCAGGGAATAACCTGGGGGGGGGGGCGCCAAGCCTTCACAGGGCAGGGAATAACCTGGGAGGGGGCGCCAAGCCTTCACAGGGCAGGGAATAACCCAGGATGGGGCACCAAGCCTTTACAGTGCAGGGAATAACTCGAGATGGGGCGCCAAGCCTTCACAGGGCAGGGAATAACCTGGGAGGGGGCGCCAAGCCTTCACAGGGCAGGGAATAACCCAGGATGGGGCATCAAGCCTTCACAGTGCAGGGAATAACCCGAGATGGGGCGCCAAGCCTTCACAGGGCAGGGAATAACCCGAAATGGGGCACCAAGCCTTCACAGGGCAGGGAATAACCCGAAATGGGGCACCAAGCGTTCACAGGGCACACACACTCAATTCACACACAGACATGCACACCTAGCGGCAATTTGGAAATTGTAGTTCACCTTAGCATGATTTTGGACTGTGAGGGGAAGTTCCCGGAGGAAACCGCACAACAACACAGGGAGAACATGCAAACTCCACACACATGGAGCCATATACCTATACCTTAATGTATAAACTGTACAGTTCTTTGGCCACATTTTAGGTTGCAAATGCACTGGGGCCGGCGATGACTGTGGGGAGCTCAGTTTATTTACCTGATTTGAAGTCAGATGTAGATCCTTCAGTGGCCATAAGTGTCTATAGAAAAGAGGTTTGTGAATATGGGTGAGTACAATAATTTAGCTTTATAGCACACTATATGGACTATTGGGATGCACCTCTTAATCATTGAATTCAATTGAATCATTGGCACGGGTGTATAAAATCAAGCATCTAGACTTGCAGTCAGGTTTACAAACATTTGTGAAAGAATGGATTGTTCTGAAGAGCTGAAGAACTTCCTCTGGCATTAATCCCAGCACAAAAACTGTGCGCTGGGAGCTTCATGGGATGGGCTTCCATGGCCAAGCAGCTGCATGCAAGCCTCACATCCCTCCATGGAAATGGCCGTCTATCTGCCATAGCCAGGTGTTAGGTGGGCGTCCCCTTGTTCTGGTCCAGTGACTTGGCCGTAGTGCTGTAACTGATGCTCCCTCACAAAGCAGGTAATGTGCCTCATTCGGGACTCTCTGAGCAGCTGGTCGTTCAACACAAAGTCAAGCCAGCGGCACCCAAGGATTCTCCGAGGAGACACAGTACCAATGGTGTCCAGTTTTCCTCTCAGGTCATAGGATAACATCCATGTCTCACAGCCATATAGCAAGACAGGGAGCACCAGGACTACAAAGACTGGGACCTTCATCCTCTTACAAAGATATTGGGAACAATACCCATGTTTTGTAAAACTGACCTTGCTTCAAGTGCCCTCCAGAATAAAGACATCAATTTCTCTGTGCATTATGGTGTAGTAGAATGGCTGAGGGCAGAGGATGAAATCACAGCTATATTTTAAGGAACCAAGGATCCAGAAAATTGAGGTTCCAGAGTTCATCTCCAGATTCCAACATCGACAAGTAACAGCAAGATACCCGTACAGCCCGCCTGCGCTCATATGATCCGTAAACTAACTTTACTACATGTTTTGGATTCCATCAGTCTGGAGACTGGCGTCAGACCAGTGCTGGCGCCAGAAGAACTCTGATGGCCAAGATTTACACGGATGGTGTCCGGATGATGGTAAAGGTTGTCAAGGTTGTCATTGACGACGGTACAAATTGCCGACGGGTATGGGGTGGCGACAGTAAAAGTTGTCGAGCAGCAGCACACCACAGAAAACAAAAGATACGACAATCTGTGATTTCATCTGTGATATATTAATCATTATTTTTAGAGTCTTTTTTTTTGGGGGGGGGGGCAAGCAGTCATTTGAGGGGTGCTAGACCCCCCCCCCCGTGACACTGACATTGAGATGAACAAGCAGACAAGAGCAGTGTCACAGCTGGCACTAATCTCATTGGTCAGCACAGTCTCACGGTACCATCTAACTGGAAATAGAACACCGAACCCAGAGCGCCACAAGCTGTCATGCAGTTTTCCAGTCTGATGAGCTAAAGGAGAACAAGGTCTGAGTGTTCCACTCTAACTACGACTCTACAAGAAACAACGTACAGCAGATGCTAGAGTGTCTCAGAGGAAATGAGGATGGCCTGGTTCCCCCTTCCTTAGCTAAGCTCCTGAAAATATGAACAGGTAGCTGTCAATACGTAAAACTGACCTACGTAATTCCAGATTAGGCAAAAAAATCCAAGATACATAGAGTTTACAGAAGCACTAACACAAAATGCCTGTATGTAAATTTTACACTTTGTGTTTTATTTAATAAGTTCTTTAGTACATATGACCAGGACATTTTTGGCTTATGCATTTTTTTTTGCTGTAAGACATCTACAGTAGAATAGTATGGGAAGGTAACTGACTTATGTAAAATTTGATTTAAATAAGGGTTTGTGGAATGGGTTACATATTTCAGTGTATTACTACCTGTTCTGTCCTCTTAGATCTGTCCTGTTCTGACTGCTAGATCTCATGTAAGGATAGCAATACTGACCGTTGGACATCAAGAAACTCCATGAGCTTCGTATCGGACAGCAAGTTCAGGTGCAGGATGCCCTGCCTGTAGCACGCATTGTCCTCTGCATGATACAACATGTACAGCATGGACAGGTCAGGGTAGAACTCTGGCAAGATGACGGGCAGCACCAGAGAGCAGAAGTCCATCTCAGTCTCGCTATAAACAATGGCATGTCATTTCATCATTAGTCTACAGAGCACAACTAGCGCATTTCATTAAATTCTTGACCTGACCTAATATTTAGCTAAAGAGAAACTGGCCTGTATCTCAGAGTTAATACGGCTTTAATAAGATTTAATAAAATCATAAAAAGGCAGAGGTAGCCCAGCCCTTTTCGGGGCCCTAAGCATAATTTGATTGACCTAGTTGTCATTTGTCATTTTCCTTCCCATTCTGACAAGCTGATCAGATATGGGCCCCGCAGGCTGCTGGGCCCTTAGCAGCCACTCAGTTCACTCATGCCTTGGGCCGGCCCTGTACAAAGGCTTGCTCAAACTCAATTACCAAGCCATATCAGTTTTCAAGGCATGCACTGGTATGTAAATTAATACCCGTTTAGGGCTGTACACTGCTGTAGCAAATTAAGTTATTTTCAAATACACCATACAATCAGACCAGAAGCAGTGTGCCAGGGGTATGTGCCTGGATTACATATTACATAAAGTATTTCAGAAAAGATGAGCCTCTTTTTTGTGTATAACACACCATTATAGACGTTTTAATATGCTGTATACTTTTGTCGTATTTTTGGCCTGTTACTAATAATTTTGCCTTTTATGTAAACATTTGAGTAAGATTTAAAAAAGAAATAAACAGATTTTCAATTTACCTTGATTCTACAGGTTCAGAGCTTTTGTTAAAAAGCTGAGGAACATAATCCCTAAAACACAAAAGAGGAAATTAAAAGAGAAATATTATAAACATTTTCATTGTTATTATTTCATTTCAAATAATATATTTTTATTTTAAAATGGCATTAACCCTTTAAGCACATTGCAGAATATTTAACAGATAAATATGGTCCCTTGTGTGGATATGTATCATACTAGAATTAGGAGTATAAGACCCACATAATGATCTCCTGGATCTTCTCCGCGTGGTATTTGACCTCCTTCTGGGCCATCTCCAGCAAATGCTTGTTGGCCCCAGGGCCAGAGTAGGCTGCCTGGAAGACCAGGGTTTGTGTTTGAAGCAGTTTCCCCAACGGGTGTCTGAGAGATTGTAGGGACTGGGAAGAAAAAAGAAACTTTCATAAAAATGAATCAATGATTTGCTTTCAAGTCAGCCGTTAGAATGATTTAGAAGATTGTGTAGCAATATCTGAAATGTAATAATATTTTATTTTAAAAATTAAATCATATGCAAACTTTTGAACAGTAATGTGTTGATGTCGATAGATGTACGCATGTAAATTGTTACCTTTTCCAAATACTGCTGAAGTTGATCTTTACTCTGCTGTAGTCTCAGTTCCTTTAAGAATTCAGCGTTTGTCACAGCTTCCCTGCTTAAAGTGACATGAGATTAACGCCTCAGTGAAACCGACGTACTGCCAGTATTTAGCCAACATCCTGTCCTGGATTGCCCTCTCCCAGTTGCTCACCAATTCAAAACATATCATTGGCTAATGATAAAGGTGGCCCCCCTCTGTATAGGCAGTGATGGCCAAATGGTCAGGAAAATGTGCTTGTGATCAAAAGGTTGCTGGTTCAAATCCCCAACCAGGAAGGTAGCACTGAGGTTCCCTAAGCAAGGTACTGCTCCCTGGACTCTGAATAATTGCTGCCCACTGCTATGTCACTTATGGACGTATTTCATTGTGGTGTGTCACCAATGACAATTTTTCACTTATGGGTCCTCCTATGCCCCCTCCCTTAAAAAAATCCTACATTGATACTAGGGGTGTAAATCACAGCTTCCCTCGCGATACGATACAATATCGATTCCTTAAACCAACAGTTCGATTTTTTTCGATACCTCAGAAATTCCCACGATACGATATGATACGATTCGATTCGATTCAGTTCGATACTGGGGACAGTAGTTGAAATGATGAAATTTTACACAATCCTTTACATTTCTGTCACGCTACGCCGGTGAGTGGGCGGGTAAAGAGGATCACAGAGTCGGAGGTTCGGGGAAACGGGACTTTAATGACGACCAGGGCAGACAGGAAGGGACGACACGTAACAATACAATGACTAACCTAGGGATCACTCACTATGACAAGGACTAAATACACTAAACAAGCTGAGGAAAACGAGCAACAGGTGAGATCCGTCAGGGAAGAACACGGGTTAACGAGGGGGGCGTGGCATACATGAGGGTTGGACGGAGCCGGGTGTGACAATTTCAATGGATTTAAAAAGGCAAATATAATTAGCATTTTATCATATTTTATTGGGAACTGTAAACAAAATCTAGTGTAGTCAAGTATGTCCCATAAATCAAGCAAAATAAAGTGCAATAAGGTAAAAATAAAAACTTTGGATGGATGTAGATTAACATGGTGACTAATTTTTATTTTGAATCAAGTCTTCTCCAGATTAATACAAGAATGTAACAAAAAGTATAAAAGTATGTCCATAACTCATGACCTGCTCCTATGACCCTCTCGTGTGCTACGCCCCTCATTAACTTCGTGTGCAATCCCGATTGTTCCCAGCTGTTTCTTATTGTTTCGTATAGTCCTGTGTATTTAAGTCCACGTCAGAGTCTGTCACCCAGGTCTGTCACTGAAGTTTTCCCCGTATTGAGTGCTGTGCTTGCAATAACCCCCAACACCCGTGCCAATGGCCTGAACAACAATAACAAGCAAAATAGAGTGCAATAAAGACAAATAAAAAACATTGCATTGACAGACATGTAGAATGAGGAAGATCAACATGACTGACTTCTGCAGTGAAACAAGTATGTCAGTATTCTTCTTTGAGAGGTTTTTTAAAAAAGTCAAATTAAATGGTCAACGTGTTCAGGAGATTGTGTGCTCTGAGCGTAGCGTCCTATGTCAACTGCCGTACTAAACACACGCTCTGAAAGTACACTAGCTTGTCAGCTACTTATAATTGACCAAGTCAAAATGATCTACCTACTATAAAAATGCAAAACATATATTTATATATACAAATATTGAGTATTATTTAATATAATTTATTATTATTACTATTATTGTTATTATTAATTTCCCTTTGGGATAAATAAAGTATTTTTGAATTGAACTGGGATTTTAGTTCCTTCACCTTTCTATTTCTATTTATTAAGATGATCTTTCTATTCATCTTATCGTTTGCCTTTGAATCGATATATCGATACAAATCGATGTATTGTTACACCCCTAATTGATACCGTGTACAGGAGAGAGGCACTTACCGACTACAGGAATGGTGCTCATCGCTCTGAGAGTCCCCCCCCAGTCCCTCAGAGCCCACCTTTCGCAGGGACCTGCTGCTCTCCGTGTGGAATCCCAGGAAAGCCTCCTCCATTTTCTCAGTGCAATCGGAGCGCAGATACTCTATGAAGGGGGTAAAGACACCTGGCCATTGCCCCAGAACAAGGAAATCTTGTCCTAGCTGTCTGGGAGAAAATATCCAAAAGGGCCCTTTGTTTCTCGCCATGATCAAGAGGAGATGGGTTAACAGCCGAGGGAAACATTTTAAGAAACAACAGGGATCCAGCAGCTACTAAAATAACATCAATTTGAATTTTGAATTAATTAATTTGTTTCATTTGTGTTTACCGGTGGCTGCAAGGATTGCATAGAGTAACTGACTGTTACTGTGCATATGACAGTAAATTCTTGAATCCCGAATCCTGAATATGAAGGCTATTTGGGAATTCTGAGTACATTTATCCTGGGCAGGTGCTCCAGTATCCTTCCACAGTCCACAGACATGTCTTGAAATCGCCCATAGGGTGTCAGTGCATAGCAGTGCGTGTCCTGTGCTGAATTTCATCCAAGATGTGCCCGCGCTTGCTGGGAGAGTTTCTAGGCTTACCCCGTACTGGATAATCAGTATGGATATTGGATAGATGGTATAAAAAATATACATTCAGCATTTGCCTGTATATATCTCTGATTTACCATTCTGATAGGTTCCCACTGGCTGAAAAAGGCAGAGGTGATGCATTAATTAAGAATACAGATTACACAACTTACAGATGAGTGGCTGCATAGGACATCTCAGTATTGTTAGATGTGTTCATAACTCCATTTGCTTGCAGTCCGTTCCCAAACGTGCTGCTGAAAGTCCCTTCAATTGTAATGCCATCTGGAAAAGTCATCTTTCCCTAAGGACAAGGACACACAGAGCATTATTAACTATTTGGGCTTCACTTCACCATTTAAAACAGCGTTTGCCTATCCGATCCTTGGAAGCCCACAGACAGTCCACGTGTTTTGCTCGCTCCCAGCTGGGAGAAAAAATGTAGACTGTCTGGAAGGATGCTCAGGGGGAGCAAAAAGATGGACCGGTTGTGTGTCCCCGAGGATCGGATTGGGAAAAACTAATTTAGAGTAATAAATAGTGCCAAAAGACAGAATACTTCCTGTCAAATATAGAATCATAGACAGATGACAGTGTCATAGAAGAGTGAAAATTGAGTTGCTGAAGCTTGTTCCATTAAAGGTTATTTTTAAATAATAGGAAAGGAACTTTGTACTTAGTTAAACATTCTTAGCATTCCTCAGCATAGACATTCTGAGTTCAGGTTCTCATTATTTTGGCTACCATACCTATCAGAAGAAACTGCACTGACGCTGGAAGGGAGGCAGTTGTAGGAACAAATTTGACTGGAGTTTTAGTCACAAAGAGATGGCTCAACTTGAGTATAACAGTCATTCGCCAGCTAGAGGTGCACTCCCTATGGCATCTACGAGCTTGTGTGCTGGTATCCTATATCAAAGGATCTTCACAGCTGTGTTACAGCTGGCAATCCAGATGCTGTATCCTGATAAATACGCCATCCTATAAAATATCATTTTTAATGTTCTTCCTCCTGTTTTCTCTGTCACTTGCAGGAATCCGTGACAAATTACATGTAGCTTAACTACTATGACCAAAAACATTTTTTAAGCATTTTCTAACCTTAGATTAGCTGTGCAACATCACAACAGAACATTATTTTTAACAGTTACATTTATTTTATTTAGCAGAAGCTTTTGTCTAAAGTGATTTACAGTAATTGTATTTCAACTACTTACTTTCACCTTCCACAAATCCCCAAATTACCTTTAGCTAAACTGCATCTACAATTAACATTGGGCTCTCAATTTATTAATAAAACTTTTAAAAGTCTGATTCATTGTCTGATTCTTCCTGTCCTGATAAATAAATAAGAAAAAATAAATATGATTAAATTTGAAAATCCACCTGAGCCTCTGTCCCTCGGAGGATCAGAACCTACCTGCATCACACTACACTTCAGTTTCAATGAATAATACATAAGAATACTGTGTAATTTACTTGACAGCTTAGAGAGAGATGGATATGGATAAAGAGTCTCACCTTTCCTCGTAGCTGTAAGTCCTCAGTAAACTCTCCTTCATAAAGTGAGTTATCCTCAGACAGCAAGACACCTTTACCCTTGCAAAAATATACAAAAATAATATTGAAAAATGTACAAAAAGAGCACAGGAATAATGCACAGCTTTTCCTTATTAGTTATTAAAAAGTGTGTGTTTTAGGTTCATAGCATTTAAACTTCATAATAATGTAACAACAACATTTCGCTTTATCCAGACATTAACTTTAGGCAAATTTCACTTTTACTCCAGGCCATTATTAATGTATCGTGTAAATATAAAACAAAGTGTTGACATTTTGAAGTGAATCCCACGTAAGGCACATGCTCACTATTAGCTTGCCCCCCTGGAAGTTGCCTTCGTAGCAGAGTCCTGACTGCGTCACCATGATACCTCTGCCATCCCTTTGGTCATCCTTCCACATGCCGATGTAGCGGTCGCCGCTAGCAGGAGGAATAAAACAAATCAATAAACAAATAAAGGAAATGTACTGATAGCTATTTAACATTATCTATCTATCTATCTATCTATCTATCTATCTATCTATCTGTCCGCCCGTCCGTCCGCCCGTCCATCCGTCCGTCCATCCAACATTTATGCATACTCCACCTGTTAATTTATGTTATCTATCTATCTATCTATCCGCCCGTCCGTCCGCCCGTCCATCCGTCCGTCCATCCAACATTTATGCATACTCCACCTGTTAATTTATGTTTACTTTTGCACAATATTCTCCTTGTGTACAGTGTACTGTTGCACTACATGTACTGTCTTTTCACGTTTTCATTGTTTTGCACTATATTTTCGCATCTGAGCACTTCATGTGCATACATCTTGCTGTATGTAAAAAAAATCAACAAAGTATTATCCTACCTTATCTTTTATCTAAAATTACAATAACAGCCATTTAGTCCTCACACAATATCACTTTCTGTATATTTTACCGTGAATGTGAAATATAAAAGCAAATGTCTTGCTATTACAAAATGAAGATGCAAACTTGGTTACCTGTCTGCAGTCTCCATGATGCCATAGCCATGTTTCCTGTCATTCTCCCAGTGCCCCACATATCGGATCAAGCTGCTCTCCCCCCGGTTGCTTTCCAAAATTCCAAATCCATGCCGAAGGTCCCCCTTGAAGTAGCCCCTGTATATGGTGTTGGTGCTGTACCTTCAAAAGATCATGAGATTAAGCTAAACAGAGAAGACATTAAGCAAAGATGGAGAGCAGACCTTCTGCTTCTTAAATACTAGATTGATGTGCTATCTTGTACATAAACCACGATGAGATGGTATTAATGAAAGGCTGCACTATGCACACATTCCTCACTGGGGGACATTGACGATGATGAGTCTCTTTACTGCATGGAGTCACTTACTCACACATTCCGTATCTCTGCTTTTTCCCCTCGATCCAGTGGCATTTGTAACAGTTGTATCCTTCAGCCTGGGAAACTAAATATACTCCAAACCTGTAAGGGTACAGAAGGAGATCCTCAACTTTGGAGAGCTCTGCCATCCATCACTCATAGCTGCTAATCCAGTAAAGTGCTGTGATGAGCCTAGAGTCTCAGGAACCACAGAGTCAGCGGGGGGTGTGTGGCTCTGTGGGTTAAGCCTCAGAACTTGCGATTAGAAGGTCACTGGTTCAAATCCCATGGCTGACGGAATGATTTCATTATTGGGCCTCTGAGGAAGGTCCTTTACCCTAATGCCTAAATACTCTACAGGCTTTATTTTGTTACTTGCCTTGTCCTGAATATATTAGGTTATAGCTTATAGCCTACAGGGTAACTGGTTTAAATCCTGTTGGAGGCAGTGTGGTATCAGTATTGGGCCTCAGAGTAAGGCCCTTAACATTAATTGTTCTAGGAACTGGATTACCATACTTTATCAATAAAAAAATCTTCTGAATAAGTAAATGTAAAACAACAGAGGGAATCCCCTGGATGTCGGTGTACTGGAGGGCATAAAATGGCCTCAATGGGCAAAAACTGCTTGTTCTTAGGCTATAGTAGGAAAGTTACTGGACGATACTGAAGCAAACCAGTGCAAACATGACTGATCATCCAAACTCTACACACGTTCAGCTGGAATCTATGCCATAACCCGAGAGGTGTGGTCACAATGGTAAAATACAGAGGATATTAAAAAGTCTAACTCAATCAACTACAGAGTGCTGGATATGGATCTGGTAAAGATCTGAGACACCAAGATGGCATCATAAGAAAATTAAACATTAAACAGAGAGCATTCTGGACATCTGGTTTTCTTTTTTGGATGCAAATTTAAACATTTTAATTAAAACTGAAATTGAAACAACATACACTTGTCCAGAGAAAGCAGATGATTATTTATATAAATAAACTCCAAATTAACATTATAGAATAGTAAACATAACCTATAAATAGCCTAACCCATATAGAATCATCTATAACGTTATTGCATAGTAAAAGCTAACCAATTAACTTTAAGCGCATTAGAAATATATCCAGATAGACATATACTGTGCTCAGATTGCAGTGTATGAGTGTATGGTTCTTACCCGTGTTCAAGGCCATTTATGAAATCTCCAGTATAATTGCGTTCATCTTCCCATTTTAGTGTCCCTCTATAATGAAACAGACATTGACAATGTTATAAGTGATTATACACTCGACGGCTACCTTATGAGGTACAACTGCCCCCCATTTGTCTACAGAACAGCCAGAATTCTATGAGGCAAGGATTCAACCACATTTTTGCAGTTGCAGAATTCCTGTTGGTTTAAACATGCTTGGCCATTCCCCGCTTTCACATATTAACTTATCATAGCTCAAGTACAAGCCTCTGCTGGACAACTTTTATCACTGCCAACCCCACCCCCCTCCTGCCCCTGATCTACCCTCATGCCCCCCTGAGAAAATCTTGGACCGGGCCGTCTGATACTTTCTGCTGCTGAAACTTCCATGGTATAAAATATTAATTAAGCAGTCCGTATTTTGATCTATACTAAAATGTAAGATATTATATGTGGAGATAGCTTTTCTGTAGCTTCTGTAGCATGCAGATATGAGCCCATAGAGTGTTTTGTCGGGAGGGTCATGTTAAGAATCTGCCAAAACTCACTTGCCGTGTGGTTTCCCTTGTTTCCAGTCACCTTCATAGATGGCGTTTTTCAGTCTTCCCTCGTTTTTAAACGTGTAAGTAGTAAATCGGCAATTGGGTGGGTTAGCTGGCCGTTGTCCCTTGTTCCCTTTTCCCCACAGGGGAAAGTCTCGCTTCTTGGCCAAACACTGGCGGACAGCCTGATTGAGCTTCCAGTACCACATCACCTTGAATCAATACCACCAGGCAGAAATCATGAATAAGCCTATCCTACATTCAAACATCCAGCTAAGATGAGCATTGCGGTATATTTACTTGTGCCACCTTGACTTACTCTCACTCTGTCTTGATCAATTCCAAATCAAAGCCCCCCCCCCCCCTGCCTCCGCCCCCCAACCTCATGGGCTATCTCTGACAGCACATTAGCAGCTTTACTTGAGGTGGTCCTCAAGGTCGCTAAGCTGAGCAGTCAGTTCATAAGCAGCACAAGTACATGCCGTATTTCCTAATTAAGTATTAATTTTGTAACATCTGGAGAAAGCACAAAGTTTACTGCTTATTGCAATGTGAAAATTATTAATCCCCGCCAAGAAACAGTATTCAAGGGGTCCATAGTCCTGGATTACATATTTTATCATGCATTTTAATTTGAGCATCCTTGGTTTTCCAGCTGCGTGTTTCTGTTGAAGCTAGAGTCAGAAGATTTTTGCTGGTTAGCAGAACATGCTGCTTTGGTATCTCCTAAACAAGGAGCATGTTTATTTCATATTTAGTGTAGTGACTGTTTGCGGCTAACAAAGAAACATGCAGCGTAAGTGACAGTAAACACCACCACTGTTCCTATCTTGCCACCCAATGACTAAAGCACAACAAAAAGCCAAGGATCTGACAGATTTTGTATTATCCTCGTGCCAATCCATTTGAAATGTTTTTATAATAATTATATAGGTTAATAGTTATGTTAATTTTATAACTCTTACACTGAGAATGTGTAACTGATGGATGACTTTGCAAGTCATGGTGGAATAGTCGAATGATCAAAGTAATCAGAATTACCTTTGATATCATTCATGACCTCTGACCCATGACCATTAATCCAAAAGGTATTCTCTACAATGTATGACAGAATAGTCAAACTGAAGGCTGTTTACTTATGAGAAACTACTTTTCAATGAGATCATATTACCCGATTATGCGGTTCCAGGGTGTGGAAGATCAGCTGGTCCTCAGGAGTGATGACCTTCAAAGACTTGCTACAAAATACAATAAACAATAAAAAACTCAGAGCATAAATGAAATCATTATATTGTCACCAATTATTACTTAAAACAAATGGTATTTTAACAAATTTGAATTTCAATAACTAGAGACAATGGACAACTATAAGTCTATATGGTTAAAAAAAAACACACATTGCCATAACAGACTGGAATTCCTTCATATTATCTGTAATTGTTAATCAGGGAAGTGCAGTCGGTTAAAGTCTCAGCTATACACAGTAAAAATGGAAAATAACTTGCCTACTGTGTGTCTCACCCACCTTTCTGAAATATCCATATCTATTGGTTCAATCCACAGTGTAGACAGATCGTAGTAGCGAACATCAGATCCCTAAAATGCATTAAAAGAGAGAGATGAGAGGTTAACAAATGCACCTGTGCCTCTGAGAGCAAGTTATTAGTGTTAGTGTCACAGAGAAGATCTTTGTGTCTTTTTGGGTTTAACAGCTACTCAAAAAAGATGTGATAAAGTTACAATATTTTATTCTTCCTGTCAGTAAAGACATTCTTTTTGCAGTTTCTCTTTTGCATTTTTCATTTTCATTTTTCTTTAAGCGTCATACTGAAGAAGGGAGCAGGATCAGACAGGTATCAACAGGAAGACAGGATTGTCTGCTACGCAGCCCTATGACATATCCTGATGTCATCATGTTTGACAAACTGGAGCAGATTAACTATTATGAGAAATGCGTGGGTATCAGACTAATAGCGATTTGTAGAAAAAATCAGAGTAACAGACACTCCTGATAAAGCTGTAGGAACCTACCTAGTGCATTTCTTTGAATCCCAGCTACCTGAAAGTGACGTTAAGGCTACCTGTACTTAAACTTTGCAGTATTGCCAATATAGCATTGCAAGTTTGTACCTAAAGCAGTAATGCTGAATATCGTCGCAAGATGTGTATTTTGTAAACGTGAATAAAGATCATAGTGTTAATGATATAATGCTGGAAAAGCATTGCATCGATGTGCAGCCTTGTGAGGAAGAAGTCTGACCTGTAGGTGGATCAGAGCATCATTGCAAAGAAGAATACGATCGTGACCGAACCGTCCTGCTGATAAGGAGATGGGAGCATTTTTACTGTCCTCCTGTAAACGACGTTCCGGGGTACATAAAATATCCTGGTAAAAAAAAAAACATGAAATAAAAATTAAAATACAGATATGGCAGATGAAGAGTTGATCAAAGCGAACATTATTAATCTGAGCTTGTTGATCAAAAAACTGTTTTTTCCTGGTGCCTTTGACAAAAAAACAAAAACTTGTTGATTGTTGATTTATTTTGTGGTAAGAATCAAAAGCGAAGTACCGTCAGTTTCTGGCCCAGGGATTTCCACAGGTCTTTGGTGAGAGTAGCTTCATCAAGAACTTGACTGATGTAGCTTTTGAGGTCCATAAATCCCCTTAGAGACCCATCCAGTCCTTCATCACCCACAATCTACCATAAACATAAAAAAAAAATTATTGTTAATGGAACCTCAACAGAGAAGTCTACATTTCTGTAAACATGTAAAGCTCAAACATATCTCACTTAAAGCTCGTCGAGAGAAAAAAAACTCTTTCGATTCTGATTCCGATTCCAGGTTGGATTCATTTCTGTATCACCACAATCAGATGTTTGTACTAATTAACTTCTATTTTCAATGAACACTTAACCTGATATCACCATAAATATTGAGAAAATCATGTTGGCCACTCAATCTCTCCACATTGGTCTAAGTATTATAGAAATATACCCACCCATCTTTCAACAGCTTATGCTAGTCAGGCGATGAGGCCTGCAGACTATCCCAGGCAGAGGTGGAAAGTTCAGGTCCAGAAAGTACAAATCCAGACCAAGGTTTTGTTTCAACCAACAAGTATACAGTGTAAATCTGTGACTGTGACTCTTTATACTTAGCTAGTTGGTTGAAACAAAACCTTGGTCAGGATTTGTACTTTCTGGACCTGTTCTTTCCACCTCTGATCCCAGGCAGCATAAAGCACAAGGCTTGGTTCCACCCTGGACAACAGGGTCATCCACCCCAGGGCACACACACACTATGAGCAATTTACAGACACTAGACAAAGTGTTGCATACTCTGTGCCACCTGGGATATGATCCAGGTCCACACCACATTATTATGTAAGCATTCAGGAAAGCACGTGTATGCATCCTGCAAGCAGATCCTCTGGCACCTGTCGGTCATCCTCAGTGAGAAGAGTGAGTATGCGAGTGTAATGGCTGATCTGCTCCCGCAGACGTTCATGCAGAATCCTGTAGAGGTTCAGTGACACCGAGCTCTCGCATTTCTGTGCATTGATGAATCTCCAGAGGTTCACCTTGTTCTCTTTCCAATATGTACTGCATCAGAGCAACATGTATGCAAAGAGGAAAAAAGGAGATCAGACACCAGTGCCTAAATAACTCCAGTTCCAGCCGTTCCTGGTGCCGTTAAGCTTAATCCTTCTTGTAGACCAGTAACACAACCAAGGCATGTATATGTATGTTATGTAGTATTTTCCTAAAGCTGTTTATGTACGTAGTATGCATGACATGCAAAAGCATACAGTGTGTGTGTATGTATGTATGTATGTATGTATGTATATGTGTCACTTAACCTTTTTCACTTATAGATGGGAACTAATTCTAAAATAATTTTACCTTGTCTTTTTGCCAATATAGTCAAAGCCTCCAACTACCACAAAATTTGTGAAGGATGAGAAGTATCTGAAAAAAAGAGAATTCCATTAATATTTCTGCATATTTCTGAACAATTCCCACCATTAATAAAACACCTTCATATATTGGACAAGGAGGGACCAAGGTCTACACTACAAGCCTGCTCTTCAGCCATGTACACTACTGAGGCAGAATTTATTTATGCCTCAGGACTGTTTCTGACAGACTTTTCATTTAAATTTACAAACTGAAACTTTTTTCATTGTCTCCAATGTGGCAAATGATCACACTGCTGTTATTGTACAGTAAGCTATTGTGTATTATACAATTCATCTTTTAATACAGAATAATTTCATGATTCCTATCTGCAATAAATGCTTTCTTCTAGGAGTAATAAGAGAAGAGAATTATGTAACACAAATGCACAGCATAAGGAAGGGTGTCAGCCTTAAAATATCTGAAATAAAAAGTATTTAATAGCCAGCAACTTAAATGTGCAAATTTTAAGGACTGATCTGAAATTCTTAAAATCCTTAATCTGACAGTAATAAAACACCTCGTGTAAAACAGATACTTGCTATCCCGTAAAGTTGGTGACATTAAGCTGTAAATAATGTGAAGTGCTCCAAAAGACTCCTTACATACTGAGTTACTTTTATTTAATTACGGTCGAGGTTAATCTTACGTCCTCTTCCTCTAACCGTGCTGTTTATATACTGTACAGCTACAGACCAAGCAGCATTTCTCAGATACAACATAAAATAAACACTCTTCCTTATTTAGTCTTTAATTTTTCTCAATTCACCTGTCAAAATCAAAGCAGGTGTTTAGATTTTGAAATAATAATAAAAAGGCAATAAAATATGCGTATTGGTTGCTGTTAATTTGCTGGGACTGACTTTCTACAGATTTCCTTTTCTGGTTTGACAGTTTTCGCACTTTATTGTCATTTTATGGATCACGTTTTTCTTCAAGTGAGAGGTTACAGTGGCCCCTGGGCGGACAAATGCCTCGGAACCCCAGTCTTGTTGCCGTCCATCTAATTTCCTACAGCTTGTCCTGTACAGGGTGGTGGGGGCTGAACGATATTGGGTTAAAAAAATACTTTGAAAATTTTTAGTTATGCTGAACTTTTGTGCTTACATATGAAGCTCAATGTTGTCCTGGAAAATCTTTATTATTTATTTCTTTTGTGAAACAAACAAACAAACACATACATAAAGAAATGGATGGATGGATGGAAGACAAAAGACTTAATGACTAAGGAATAATGTGGGTCCTGAGGTTATACCAGTTTAGAAACACTGACATAGGGCAGGGGAACACCGCAGAGGATCATTGATGGTTGGGGGGGCAATCCACACAGAGAATGCAAACTACGGCAACAGAGCAGGGGTGGAAATCAAAAACCCAACAGCACTGAAGCGCTGAGCCAGTCCCCTACATCTGGCCCTGATTATTGCAGTATAATGATTTAAAACTATAGGTTTGGCAGAAAAGACATTTAGAAGTAGCCAAATTGAGGAGCGCAGTTGCGTTTTTTTATAACTGACTACACTACATGCCTTTGCTTGATAAGCAGCATGGAAGTTGGATGGATAACTCATTACATCTTGTTTTTCACTTCATCCATTTTAGTAATCCCTCTCCATTAAGTTATTTTAATTCACAATAGTCTTCCAGGCTCTGTAAAATTATATTAACTTATCTCTCCTAATAAAGACATTACTTGTATAGATATTACATAATAACGAGTGCAACAGCAGTGGTAGTTACTCTGTATAGAGCTGCTGGATGCTCTCCATCTGCTCGATGATGTACACGTCCCTGCTGCTCTGAACGTTGCCCTGGCCTGTGAGTGTCTGGAGCTGCTTGCACTTCACTTCTGTATAATCCCAGAGAGCTTGAAACTTCTCACTCAGCTGCAGTAACTGAGTCATCTGCATCTGCCTTTTACCTTCCACTGCATCTAGAAGGCAACATGATGGGTTACGTTAACACACCTGGGACTATAGTACACATCTCAAAAATGCTAAGCTAAACTGATTCACGCACAACAGACACTAATGTTATACAGTCATTTTAATGTACACAGGGGCTTCTAAATTAATCATTGGTTTTGTGTTCACCACTTACTGTGGTTGAGTAGGTGTTGTAGAACAGTGACGTTCACGTCACTGAGGTACTCCAGAAAAGCTTTGTCAGTCTTTACTAGATCCTGGCCTACTTTGATCCACTTGTCCTTCCATAACAGAAAACAGTCATATTGTATCCATAAGTTTTATTATTAACAGAAAATATAGTCAGAAAATGCTATATAGTAGTACACATACTGAAATCACACCAAAGCTAAACGTTGAATAGTAAAATGACAATGCATCATTTAAGCAGAAAGAAGCAGGTTCTTCTCTGTAACACCTTGGCAGTTGTTTGCTTCATACTTGTAATAACCGCACAGTATTGCCAACGCCACGCTGGACAACAGTTACTATATTCTTTGGTGAATGAGCTGATGTTGGTCGACGGACAGTTCCAGAAAATCCTACAAAGATTCAATGATGTTTCGGGGCTGGAGGTGTATTTGATTTTATTCTGGTTTTGATCAAGTCACTCTGGAATTTGTTTAGCAATGCATATGGGTGCCTTGTCATCTTGGAATAGTGCCACTATTGATTATATTAATTATCGGATGCACTATTGATTTAAATATAAGAATCTCTCTCTCTATCTCTCTCTCTCTCTCACACTCACACACACACACACACATGTGATTTACTTATTTAAATGTTAATGTGGTGTTCCTATTATTTTGGTATAGCCCTTGCTCCCCATGAAAATTTTCTACGGCATATAGCTTGGATTACGATATTGCATACAATTTTTAGTGACATTTACCTTCATTTGCACAAGTGACATGTTTATCCCAGGTGTGAGTGTTGACGGGAAAGAGATTTCATTGGAGAGATTTGCAGAGATGAGGTGGCTGAGGCACGAGGGCCAGCGATCAGAGCAGGAACCTCAACAGTCTTCATATGTCAGTAGTGTCTGTGCCTAGGAACACAAGGAACATAATTCTCACAATCAATATTCTCTCATCTTCTCAATACTGAAGGATTTTATCAGAATTTGATTAATATTCCACTAAATCCAACAACAAGAGAATCTCTGAATGCCTACTAGTCTACCTGCATAGCCTTGCATGCTAGTCTGTCAACATAATTATGCCTACTAATCTATCTGCATAATCTTGCATACCAGACTTGAATACCATAACCTGCACGGAGCTGGGAGGATTCCTGATTCCCAGTGCCCAGAGGTGTGAGGCAACAGTGTTATGCAGAGCACCACTGCGTCACCCCCCTCCCCATCAAACCAAAAGCATTCTGAAATTGAGCAAAGCACAACCACATTTTCTACTTTTGTTCCTGTTTTGAAATAATTATTGAAGTCTGTGTTTAAAAAAAAGAAGCGGGCTTTTCCTTATGGGGAACAGGTAGGTGGACCAGGCAAAAACCCACAGGTGCATACATATACTCACACCTAATGCATGCAGAGTAACCTTGCTTAAAATAAATCCTTAAGTAATGACAGGTGTGTATGGGGCTTGTCGCCTGCATTCTCTAAGCCCTTCCATTTCACAATCAGTTTCCAGTGGTAAAAGAAAAGCACATCTCATTGCATAACCACTCCCCTCTATAACAGACAACTAAACAATGCCTGCATTGTCTTTTTTTATTTGCTATTAAAATGCATGCATATTATTGGCTAATCTACTTAAAAAAAAAACCCAATATTATCGGATGTCAGCCCCTTGGAAGAATTTTCAGTAGCTCAGTAAAATGATAGCAAGTGAGCCTTCTGGTACGATCTTCCATGTTAATGGCTCACTTTTCAAATTCGATAATAGCTCTAGCAATAAGATATAACTATTCCAAAATTCCAACCAACAATGGTTCTTTTTTCCTCATAATATTCTCAATTTTCCTGAAGCTTACTTGGAATTTATTAATTTAATTTAATAAACTATTTTAAATTAATACACTATTGATTTAATGAGGCCATAAAAGCATATTCTAAATCAAAACATTTCATTTCATTCATTCATTTTCCATAATTGTAAATTGACCTGTAATTGTGATTTTTTCCCCTCAAATTCAAGCTTGGTGCAAAGGCATAAAGGTGCAGTTAGTGAACAGCACTATCTCTGTCTCTGAACATGAAGTCCTACACTCCATCAAGATGAAGGTCAAGTCAAAATGTTCCTGTGAACATCATAAATATCAACACTGCACCTTTCCTGGCCTTAAACTCCTAAATGTATGATTCATTGCTTAACTCAAAACAGCACAGCCTGAAAAACCAACTCTTCAAATTTCACTTTGGACCAGGAATATCAGAAACCAAGAGTTTATTTTTTATATAATATAATTTATATAATTGAGCGTGTTGTTTGACTGACAAAGAAATCTGTTTTTTGTACCATAATGAAAAAGAAATCACAACTCAAGCATTTGTAAATGCTTTTCTGATTAAAGTCTGATGTTATTACAAGATGTTTGTATCTTAATTGAAGTGTTCCTTTCACTGTATCCAAAGTCACTTTGCCCACTGTTCAATTGAGGAACACATTCGGACTTTAAAGGGTTAAATCTAAGTAGGTGTAAAGAAAATAACAATTAGCAAAAACTTTACACTGTCATAAAAACAAAGTAATGCTCAGAGGCGGACAATTTAGCTCCAGAAAGTAAGAATCCAGACCAGGATTTTGTTTCAACCAACCTGTTGAACATAAAATGTCACAGTCACAGAGTACTCAGCTTGTTGGTTGAAACAAAATCCTGGTATGGATTTTTCCTTTCTGGACCTGAAATATCCACCTCTGGTAATACTGCATGTTTTTCCAATAAAAATCCAGTTACCTAAGAGAAACATCACAATAAATGCCTTACATTCTTATATTTTGAGTCTTTGTGGTGATATTAAGTTGCCAAAAAAAAAAAAATCAGCTTTCCCAGCTTACGATTAAAGATAAGGTAACGTAAATGCTAATGTCTATTTGTAATGTCGACTTTTGCTGTCCAGTGCTAGTATTGCCTTATCTGCCTATGTCTGATTGCTTTCTCGAAAATGAAAGACTTCTGTTTCATCTGAAGGAAGTTAGAAACTGTCTAATCTCCAATAAGGGTGTTTTGAAAACAATAGCCACCCATGCATTGTTGCACTGGGCAACAGACAATTGAGGAGCATCCCTGCCCCCCCCCCCCACACACACACACACACACACTCCAGGACAGGTGATAAACTGGATCACAAAACATTCCTATATTTGATAAACAATGACTAAAGTTTTAGAGGTATTAATGTATGTTTTTCTTCATGCCTGTGAATGGGAAACACAATGGATGAACTCGTTTAACAGCTGGCTGACCTTCCCATTGTGGACATGCAATGCACACATGTCCTGCCATGCTTGCCTATTGTATACAGTCTTCCATCCATTTAAATTAAACACTTAGGATCATTGATTTGTTGCCCATTCCAGAAGGAAAAGCCTGCGTAAGTCATCAGACACGGGACAGGGCAAGCTGTACTCATACTGACCCACGCTAATAGCAGGGAAGGGTAATGAATTTCACCGAGGAAGGAAAGCCAGACGCAAGCGAGAGCGTGAAAACCCTGCATTCAGATACACAGCTGCAGCTGGACACAAGCCCACATATCAAAGCAAGGAAAGGGGTGGGGCACCTGTTTTCATGGCTGTTTCAGCATTGTCTCCTATCCATAGTCTATTGTAAGGAAAGGAAACGCAAATGACGCGTGTGATGTAGCCACGCTCTCCAGCAGGTTACTGCAGCACCAGGTGGCAGATGCTCAGTTTTATACTGCATGGTGTATATTCAAAATGTTCATTATTGGCTACAAACAGATAATACCAAGGCCAAGCGTGGGATGTAGTTCTGCTCCGGAGTGACTTGCTGTGGCATCAAATAACAGACGTTTGGTGTCAGGAAAAAAAGTTTTTTTTTTTTTTTTGAGAAAGTAGTCAACGAATTCCTTGAGCGATTGGGGGGTAAGGGCCTTGCTCAGTGGCCTAACACTGAAATCACTCTGCCGACCCAGGGATTCAAACCAGCGACCACTCGCAGGCATCGCGTCCTGACACAGGCACTGGGTCACACGCCCGCCAGTCTCAGCAGAAACGGTGTTCTACAGTGTCCCAAAGGTTTATTCCAGGATACAAACAAATATCCTTCCTGAAATTACCAGATACTTAAACCATTCATGAATATAGATAACTAATTCAATTACTTGTAAAAAGTACGCGTAATTGTTTTTATTTGTTTAAATATTCAAATATTTAATAATAAACTATGGATAATCCAATTGGGGCTGAGAAATTGCTAATGCAATCACTTTAGATACGGTGCTGTAGTTTACATGCACTGCCTTCACTCATCTTTCATATTACTATGTCATATCACCAAGATCATCAGAGCTTTTATACATCTAGTGCTGTCTGACGTGCGAAATCTGCATTGCAAAGCCAGGAATTATGCACTCGCTAAAAGCAAAAAAAAATCTGGTGTGAAGAAAACAGTGTTGCAGGGAAAATAAATGTTTTATTAGCACTTTAAAGCTTGGCAACCAATCATCTATTATAAGGCCCCTCTTACGAGTGAAAAATGATTCCGACTGTGGACTGCCGTAATGCACGGAATGTGTGGCCTCGGGAACCATGGAAAAAGCCAGTAAAATGAGATCTTTTATCTTTTTTCCTTTTAAACTCATGTACAGCACACATTTTGTCACAGCATGTCTGGCATACTTTACACAGACGGTTGCTACTGACTTCCTAACAAGTGAATCTGCAAACCGCCCAGTTTATATCGCGTATGTCTTTCTTGAACTAATTTATATTGCTTGTCAGCATAACACTGACATCCCATAACACGGTGGATGAAAAATCATAGAGGAAGCATCTGTCTTTTGCAGCAGGATCCCCACAAATACACGATATGGCCAAAAGTGTGTGAACTAGCTTGTCCAAACAAGGGAATTAATATGAAGTTTGTTGGCCCATTGTTTCCATAATAGCCTTTGCTATTTTTGGAAGGTTTTCCATTAGATGTTTTTCTGGTGGGCCTTGCTGGGTATTGAGTATCAGGTCCCTTTCTGTGAGCTTATGTGACCAAACACTTTGTAACTGAACTTGTTCCCGTGCATTTTGACCTTCACAGTCACTTCACTTATGATTGACCCAGACTGCTCTTGCAGGACAGAAATGTGGCAAACTGACCTGCTGAAAAGATTGTGTAAAATGTAAAGTCGCTAACCTCTTCTGTATAACCACCCATTCTGCTGCTAATATTTGTTGCAGGAGATTGTGTGACTGGTGCATAATTATGTACCTGTGTCAGCAACAGGTGTGGTGTAATTAGGCACTTCATCTAATTAATACCAGCGTCCACATCTTACAAATACAGGTTCAACAGTATTTTATATACATATATGTACATACCAAGGCTGGGTTTGAACCAACAACCTTCTGATCACAGACACAGAGCCTTAGCTGACAGAGCCACACACTGCCCAGTATACTAAACCATGTTTCTTTAGTTTACTTTCTATTTCTCAAATGGTTAATATATCTTCCAATCACTTATCCAGTACAGGAGAGCCTGAAACCTAAGCAGGTTCAATAGAGTCCAGTGCAGGAGATACTCTGATCCAGAAACCAGTCCATCACAAGACCTCTCACACTATGGATAACTTACAGATGCTGTTCAATTCCCACTTTTTTTTACAATTTGTAAGAGCTGATATCGCTGAAGACAACCTTCACGCCATATACAGTACGCACAAGACGAAAAGGAAAGTGAGAGTAGGCAGCCGGTGTATGACGCTGTGCTGTTCGTTATTACACTCTGTTCTGCGGTGCCCTGCCTTGTCCTACGCTGTCTAACCATGTCCTGTCTTGTCTTACTGCCTCTGTCTTGCCCGGACTTCATAGTTCTGTTTTATACTGTTCAGTCACACATCCCATACTCTAACAACTAATACTACATCACATCTTGTACTTCTGACGTTTGTTGTTGTTATTACCAACGAATCATAATAAACAAATGAGTATTTTAACATAAAAAAAAAATAAAAGCCGGAGTATCCAGAGGAAACACATGAGACACAAGGAGGACATGCAATCAAATTATCTGACACCCCAACCCAGGAGGAAAAATATCTGAGCCATTAAGCCAAAGACCAATCCACTGACTGGAGTAGCTTTACTTTAAATTTCAATTAAATTGCAAGAAAATCTGTCTTCATAAACTGTTCATAATGCTGGAAATATGTTATCCCATATTTATTATAACCGCCAATCTAATCATAGGGTCATATTGAAACTTGAGTCTGTTCCAAGAAGCTTAGTACACATAGTGAGAAACTCGAAAGCCCTGTAGGAGTACTGTACACCACAAATACAGTATGAAGGAAAGAGTACTCTTACTGTCCCATTGATAATACCGTGCTATTACCACAGATGGTAAAAGAGCAGAGTAAGGCAGCATAATAAACGATTTAGATTCTTTCAGAGATTATCCTCTGATATTTACACATCTTATGTTTAAGAAAGGTTCTTTCTAGGACCTAACACCTTCATGAGAAAAAAAGACAGAACTGAAAAATCCCTGTCAGCACTAAGTAACACTTCCTGTGAAGCTCCTGACGTGACAGCTTCCTAAAGTCAGCGTGGTAGCAGCAGGGCATCACCGCTCCAGACAAGCAGTCAGAAAGGCACCGCTGACAGAGAGGAGGTGAAGCATTACTTTACATAGTGTTACAATCACTGTATTATACCTCAAACCTCATTTCTTTGATCACTTAAAATTAATAAACAAATTTCTTTTTTAAAAGACAGCAAAATTTTACCAGTGATTTGTAAGTATTACACTTCAAAATCCTTTCTGCTCATTCAATGCTTATATGAACAGTGAGCACTGAACGTTAAGCTAAAATGAAACTGCTTCTATCCAACTCGTCACAAACAACACGTTTCCCTGCTCCTCTACTTTACCTGAATATTTCGGCGGTCAAATTTTGTCTGCACTCCATCCTGTCCGTGTGAGGTGTTTACTTGTCCCCCATCTAGCCGAACTAAATGGCCTGCTGCCCAGCTGAGTCGAGGAAGTCAGGTGCCCGGCTGACAGCGTATCCCAAGGTGCTTTGCACGCATTCTTTGTTGGCATGGCAACAACGGGCTAAACATTCTCAGCTGCTGCTGCTATTTGCCCGAGTCTTCCCTCTCGTTGGAAGGTTACTCCCATTTCCGGAACGTTGTTAATGCTTTCTAAATGAACATTCTTGCCTGACAGAGCATGTAAAAACAACGTATAGTTCCCGGCATGCAGACTCAATTCCCCTTTTCACTTCGTGCCTGGTCAGACCGTAAATGACAATAAAAAAGTAAGAAACACAAGAGAGCAAGAATTGTGTGGCTTCCTGACCACTCATAGAGCACTGAAGTGAAAATATTGATTTGATAATTCCGAGTACTGGATATATTATTGCTTTGAAGATTAAATATCTCACTTATTCCAGTTCTTTTTCCGTCCATGGTGTTCCAGTTCTGGAACTCCTATTTTTCTTGAGGACTAACCACTCAGCATTCACTACAGTGGTCTAACAGAAGGATTTCATACCACCTACAACATGAGCGTGTCATGGTTCGAACCCAAGCTATGTGCAGTGCTTGCATGGGCTTCCCCTGGGGCCTTTTGCAGTGCTGACTCCTCTGAAGGTCTGTGGAAGCTTTTTTTTTTTTGAAGACATGGGCAATGACTTAGAATGTCAGAAAGTGCGGGGGCACTGGCTGCAACTGAAAGCTGATTGGCCCCCGGAGTCCTCCTCCCCTGTCAATCATAAATTCAAAACATATCATTGTCTAATGATAAGGTTCCCCCCCGTATAAATTATGGCCCCTCATATGCTCTCCCCCATCATAAAGAATTAGAGAGTCAGTGCAGTGTAATTTCCCCAATGCCAGTTTCTAATTCTTCTCTTAGTTTTAAATGTAAATAACCTGTAGCCAGTGTAGCATGGCACTGTAGCATGGTTCAGCCCAACTGTAAACATCCTTGCAGTATCTGCTTATCATGTGGGCCAACAGAATAGCTTGGGCTCCGGTTTCCTTCCTCATAAGGCATATGGCTGACCTCAGATCGTGGCTCCTTATCAGAACAGGCGTGTGCCTCTCTCTGTCTGTCTGTGTGGTCATGTATATATTACATTATGGGGAAATTGGCGGAAAAAAAAAACAGTTATTCTGATCTTATGGTTAAATTTTTTTGCTCCCCATAAAGGGAAACTCAATTTTATAAAAATCTGTGAATGCAATCAAAGTATTGTATTTTGTTTAGTTACATACAGTATGAATAAGGTGTGTGTGTGTGTGTGTGTGTGTGTGCGCTCATTAGTGCTATTCCACAGACTGGCATCCAATCAAGGGTGTACCCAGCCTTATGCCATGTGCTTCCCAAAATAGCTTGCAAGTTAAATCTGACTGAAATTATCTTGGAAGACATTCCCAGGCATTATACAGCATGATCTCTACTTCATTCAGCATTAGCTGTATATTCCCTTTTCTCCCTACTTCCTGTTGGCAAAGAGATATCAGAGCTGTAGATCAAACTGCTGGTCACTTCCAAGCCGTATTCATCATAACTGCTCATTAGCAATGCATTTGCGTGTTATTTATTTTCTGTGTTATTTGCTGCTCCATCCATCTTTCTGCCATTTGTCCTGGTCGGGGTTGCAGGGGGTCCTGGAGCCTATTCCAGGCAGACAGCAGCCAAGGCAGTCGAGAGACACAAATTACCTTAACTGTATGTCTTTGGAATATGGAAGGCAACCCATGAGACACAAATAGAACATGTGGACACCACATACACAAAGCAGGTGTAATCTAAACCCCTCCCCAACCCTTAACTTGTGTGGCAACAGCGCCACCAACTGAGCAATCCTCCACTTACACTTCCTCTTGTTATTATTGTTTGATGATGTTTCTGACAGACTTCAAGATTCACAAGCTTATTGTAGCCTGCACGGTAAACAGCCAGTTACACTACACGATGAAAATCTTACTTTGCATATCCTTCTGGCCACCACTAACTCAAATTAAACACAAATGCAAATTAAGGTGAGTCAATAAGACAATAAATGTGAGTACATTTATGACAATAAATATATGAACACAGTGCAATACGATCATTCTCCTCTGTCTACTGATAGTATTTGACATCTAATTCACTAATAAAAAGACATTTTATGAAATCATCTGTTTCACTAGTATTCATATTTGTACTAGTTAACATGTTGGATTATATTCATGATGGACTCTTACACACACACACACACACACACACACACACACACACACACACACACA